CTCCTCCTCCATGAATTTGTCTCATCCTCTTTTTAAGCCATCAGCTTGGTGGACATCACCATCTCCTGTGAGGGTCATTTCCATAGGAGGTGATGACTGTGGCAGAGTGTGTCTTCATGGCGCCTGGGGTGGGGTGCAGAGGGTGACGTGAGGAGGATGCCGCAGGGCAAGCACACACCCTTCCAATTAGTCTGATCGGACTGATTTGAAGGGTGCATGCCTGTTGCATCCTTCTCATGCTGCCCTGCCAGTGCTCCTCAGAAATACAGTGGGACCTCGGGTTACAGACGCTTCAGGTTACAGATGCTTCAGGTTACAGACTCCACTAACCCAGAAATAGTACCTCAAGTTAAGAACTTTGCTTCAGGATGAGAACAGAAATCATGAGGTGGCGACAGCGGGAAGCCCCATTAGCTAAAGTGGTACCTCAGGTTAAGAACAGTTTCAGGTTAAGAACAGACCACCAGAATGAATTAAGTTATTGACCCGAGGTACCACTGTATGTGCCTGAGGCCATTGCTCTGGCGGCCCCCCCAACACTACGCCCCTTTGCCCACGGGTGCCAAAACCTTTTTCAAAGAGGTTCAGATTTGATCAAGTGAACATGTGTGATGGCTGACCACAGTTGTTGAGCTTTTTCTTTTTCTTTACAAGTTTACCTCAAAGTTGTTGGGCTTTTTTTAGGATTTTACCCCAGGACATATACTGCCACCAGGGGTGGATTAGATTGACCAGCCCCCAAAACGGACTTTGGACATGTCTGCCTTTGCCTGACTCTTATCGCAAGCCCACAACTTCCCTTCCCACCCTCACTGGCTGTCATTTGCTTTTGCACCTATCCCCTCTCCTCTAAAAGCCACACTTTAGGTTAAATTGGCAAAGAAGGAAATTAACTTTGCAACAGGGATAATCCGCCTGCAAGGCACTTCCCCCCTAGCTCAGGCTTCCCCTCTTCACACGCACATTACAACTGAAAGACACTTTCAAAGCCCCCTTTAAATCTCTTAATTAATTTCCGTCTTAAGCAGCATTGTGTTAAAAAAAAGAAAGAAAGAAAAGAAAGTGTGATATCGTAGTCTGCTGGCTGTCTCAATTAATTTCTTTTCAAATTGTGGAAATAAATGCAAGTCTTTTTTCATGCCTTGATGTGCTGAGTTGCTGAGAGGGATGACAGCAAGAAAACTGTCCCACTGATGGCAAAGAAACTGTAGAGACCCCAACCAGACCAGATAGGTAGACTCCTCTTCTTCCCTCACACTCCATTCATGGCCGCGGGAGTGTTTTCTGAACTTCCTTTCACTTCAGGGCCTTTTTGCGTGAACAGGACCAGAACCTGATGAAAGGTTTACAAGGGTTGAGCCCAAACTCTCATCCTAGTGAATGACTGAAACCAGAAGAGCCCTCCTGCTGGGTGGGAGCAATGAGGGCCTGTCCCGCCCAGTTTCCTGTTTGTGCCTTTGGAAAGAAGCCTTGCAGGCAGATCAGGAATCTGGGAAAGCAGAAAGTTTCACAGCAAACTATGAAGAAAAAGCTGTCTGACGGTGGAACTGCCTCCCTTGGGAGGATGGGTCTCTCTTCCTTGGAGGATTTCGAGCAGAGGTTGCATGGCCATCTGTCATGGATGCTTTAGTTGCGATTCCTGCATTACAGGGGCTTGGAGTAGATGACCCTCAGGGTCCCTTCCAACTCTACGATTCTATGAAATCTGGTTTAAGCCAGTTGTGCTTCACCCTGTTGTGGGTCCTGCCTCTTCAGAAGTGAGCTGGATATCGTCTTGATGGAAGAGGCGGCGGTGGAGGGATGGAAGTTTATAAAATTATGCATAGCATGGAGAAAGCAGCTAGAGAAAATGTTTTCTCCCTCCTTCATAACACTTGTGGACATCCAATGAAGATGCTTGTTGGAAGATTCAAGAAGTTCTCCTTCACACAACACATATCTGAACTTTGGAACTGCCTCCCTCAGGAGGCAGTGAGATCATTCCTGCCTGAGATCGTTACACCAGCTTGGATTGATTTACAAGAGGATTGGACAAATTCATGGAGATGAGGGATATTGATGGCTGCCAACCATAAAGGCTATGCTCTGCTTTCACAGTTGAAGGCAGCATTGCTTCTGAATACCAGTTGCCAGAAACCACAAGAAGGGAGAGTGTTGCTCTTTTGTGCTTGGGTCCTGCTTACAGGTTTTCCCCAACTGTTCAGCCCCTGCAAGGAGGCTGGACTAGATGGGCCATTAGCCTTATCCAGCAGGCTCTCCTGGTGTTCTCATAGTCTCATGATGGGTGAGGGTCAGGTAAAGCAGTTCTGGTCAGCGACAGCACTGTCATGTGAGACACCAGGAAAGAGTAACTGGAGAACAGGCCACATGATCACAAAGGCAATCCTGGGTCTGAGAAATGACAGCACCAAGTCTCATGCAGAGAACCAACAGATGTTGGTGCAGAATCTGAGCACACGTCTTCGAGCTGCTGCCTTTGCTGTGGCCTCACAAAACCTCCTGTGTGGCCTATTTATACCCTTTTGCTATCAGCCTGGCAGAGCAGGCCAATTGGTTGAAACTAAACACCTGCAGGGCACGAGAAACTCCTGCCCTCCCACATCCTAGCTCCGGAGACATTTCCCATGGCAAGAGGAGATGTGGAGAGATGCTCATTCGGCTGTGCGAGGACCACCAAGGCATGTGCACGATTGTGCATTAGCACATCCAGGCAGCAGCAGCAGCTGACATCTATTCAGCTTTTATCCCTCGATCCCTTACCGGATTTGGGTGAATTTCCAGTGCTGCTGTGTTGCTACTGCTGTGGTGGTTTTTCCACACCAGTTCATCATTAGAAAACCAGGCCTTGCATGGGGGACACATCTAGCTATGAAAAAGGCAAATTCCATGCTAGGGATCATAAAGAAAATTTTAAAAATGCCAGTATTATAATGCTGTTAATACAAATCTATGGCGCAACGACTTTTGCATTACTTTGCACATTTCTGGTCACCTCACCTCAAAAAGGATACTGTAGAGTTGCAAAAGGGCAAGCAACATGATCAAGTGGACCTATGAAGAAAGGCTGCAGAGTTTGGGACTTCTTAATTTAGAGAAAAGAAGAGGAAGATACGACATGGTAGATGCTTATAAATTTATGCATGGAGAAAGTGGGTAGAAGAGAGTATTTCTCTGTCGCTCATAGCACTAGAACTTGTAGTCATCCCATGAAGCTGCATGTTGGAAGATTCAGGACAGATAAAGGAAATGACTTCTTCATGCCACACATAGTTAAACTATGGAACTCACTGCCAGAGGAGGCAGTGATGGCCACTAACTATGAAACTTAGGAACTCTGTTTTCTTGAGAGAACAGGATACCTTGTGGGCCTAAAAATATCCAAACTTTTCTTTTTGGATGGGGGTAAAGTCTGCTCCCTCCCTCCTGCCCACCACCCAGAGGAGGGCTTGGGCAGGGAGCACCCCTTCCAGAATGTCCCTTGTTCTGTTCAAACCTAGTTTCTCACTGGCAGCATGAAACCTCATCACAAGGCTACCTAGACTGGAGATAATTTGAGCAAACTTCCTCAAGCATCATCTACAATTAAGCTTCACAGGTCAGTTCCCACCTCCACATTGGCCTCTGGGCCTGGTATATTGCCTTCCCACTCATTGCAGCAGGTCTGGGTTTAGACACAGAGTCCTGCTGCTGTCATGACTCGTTTCAGCCGAGTTCTCTGTTGCTTTACAAGACATGGACACACTTTTTGTTGCCATTGACAACTCTGAATATATCCAGGAAGGATGCCTCCTAAACAGAACAACTTTACAAACACATTAATGGAAAGAATAACTGTGCAATCCTTGTCCTCACCTGTCGGTCACAGCCAAAGAAAAATGCATCCCATCATTTATTTACACCCCACAGTTAAGCTGCCTCTCAGTGTACCCCTAGAGAGGTCATTATCCAATATTATAGCCTAGGAGCTTGAAAACGGCCCTGGGCTGTGCCAGGGGTTTTCTGCAACACTCACTTTCCCACTCGCCATCCTGCTATTCTCTTGGTACAATGTGCTGGCAAGACCTGCTCCTGTGCTGGATCTAAGTTGATAAGCATTTCCTGCATTGATAGGTAGGAATGATTTCCTGCTGCTTTCTGTACTTTCCGCACAGGTCAAAATCACACACACACACAACCTGGCAAGACCAATCTGCCATAACCAGTAACCAGCGGTGCAAGACTCATTGCATTAATTGAAATCAATGTGTGAACTCCAGGCCTCTGGCCTCAATTCCCCCTTGGATCCTGATCTTCCAGATGTGAAAGCTCCCTTCCTTGTTTGCTCCTTTTTTGCTAATTATTAGCAGCTATACAGCATGTAGCCATTGTGTGTGTCTAGTGCTGCATGGTGAGTTCTCTCTCTCTCTCTCTCTCTCTCTCTCTCTCTCATGCATGCACACACACATACACACACACATGCACACGAGCGTGCGCGCGTGCGCGCGCGCGCACACACACACACACACACACACACACTGCAAGCTCCCTCCCTCCCTCATTCCTAAGTTTCTGCTTCTTGGCCTGGCTTGACAGTTGCTCTCTGGGCACACAACTTGCTAGTCAACCCAATGCTTTTTTCCTGGGAGCACTCAAGGGTATGCAATACCAGCACCTATTTTTCTAGAAGCAAAGCCCCAAGTCAACCCACATTGGAAAGCCAAAAGAGTGTTAGTGGGTATTGTTCAAGTAAGATGGGTGGTGCTACCAGCCGTCACGTAACCCCCTCTAGCACAAGCACATTGCTCTGAACCAACCCACCTCCCAGTGCATTTTTGGGTAGAGGAGAAGTGAGGAAAGGCCAGCCCTGACATTCCCAGGGAGAAGCAGGGGAGAGAAGGGGCCTGCATTCCTCTTCAGATGCTCCTCGCTGCCTTTGTCATGATTGATGCTCCAATCCCACAGCCTGGCTGTGCATTTCCACGTCTGCCTCAAAGTGAGGATCGAACACACTCAAATCTCACCTTGAAGAAAGTCATGGTGGCGCCATCCTTCACCGCCCCATATTCGATTTTGGTTTGCTTGGCCAGGTCGTCCGCCGAGTCGATGGGTGACTCCATCCTTTCCACAGTAAGGAAGGCAGCCAGGTTGGCCGTGTAGGAGGAGATGATGATGAGGGTGAAGAACCACCAGATGCCCCCAATGATGCGGGTGGAAAGGGCTTTGGGCATCAGCTCAGAGCCTGGGAGGAAGGAGAATAGGGTGAGAGTGGAACAGACTGGAAGGAAGTGCAGGAAACACACCACCTTTTACACACACACACACACACACACACACCTCAAACCTTATTCATTGACACATAGAACTGTAGAATTTAAAATGGTCCCAAGCAACCCCCTGCAAAGCAGGAAGCACGCTAAAGAATCCAACCTCTCTTTAAAGACCTCCAATGAAGGGGATTCTGCCACCTTCCAGGGGAGTCTGTTCCACTGTCAAACAGCTCTTAATGCCAGAAAGTTATTCCTAAGATTTAGTCAGAATCTCCCTTCTTGTCATTTGAATCCACTGGTTCAGGTCCTCCCCTCTGGGGCAGCAGAAAGCAAGCTTGCTCCATCTTCCATGGGGTGGCCCTTCAGGTATTTGAAGATGGCTATCCTATCGCCTATTTGTTGCTGAATTGTAACTGTTGCACAAATTAATCCATTTTAAAAATGGAAATGAGCCAGACTGCTGTGCTCAAAGAAATAGTCGTTTACCTTGTAATGCTTCCAGACCCTGCCACTGCCGCCGCCTCCCCCCCCCCTCCACCAGCTCCTGCTCCTGACCTTGGGCACAGCCAGCAGTTGATGAGGAATTTTCAAACCAAAGTAATTAACGGAACAGCTTTCATGTGATTTAAATAGAAAGCCGCTTGTGAACTTTTATGGGTGTTTTGTTCTACCGTTTAAAATAATAATAAAAAGAGGCGCTTCTTTTATACAGAGTGGTTTTTCAGAAGAGCTCACTCTAGGGAGAGGCTTCAAATGCACAGGCATTTTTTAAAAAGTATCCAATTTGGGGGTGGTGGGGAGAGAAAGGATCAAGGGTCTAAATAGCAGTTGGAGGTAGGAAAATATGTTTTTTTTAAAAAGGGTATAACAGCCCTGTAATGACTTTGAGTGCGGAGGGATGAAGGACATTAAGGGCTCCTCTATTTTGGTACTGGCCTCTCCTGGTGCCTATTAAAAGTAGAGAAGCTTTTGGGAGGGGGGGGGAGCTGCTGCTGCTACTGCCCTCCAAGGACATCTCTGGTCTGGAATTGGGGGATCAAAAAGTCAGCTGAATCAGGGCAGGATTAATTTTTTTTGGGGGGGGGCAGTACCACCCAGGCTATGCAGACAGTCCAGAGACCCCAGACTTATACTAATACTAAAATTTATTAGTCAGTTTTTTTGCCATGGCAACTCAAAGTGGCTCGCAAAACAACCTACAACCTTCCCCATACATACGTTAAACCCGGGAGAGGGCATTAAAACATCCCACCCACTCTAAAAGGCCATAGATAGCTAAAGTCAAAGTCTTGGTTTGAAACGAATGTTTCTGCATGACACCTGAAGATATATCATGATGATACCAGGTGAATCTCCCTGGGGAGAGCATTCCATGAATGGGGAGCCACCACTGAAAAGGTCCGTTCTTATGTTGCCACCCTCCAGACCTCCTGTGGGCGGGACACATGGAGAAGGACCTCAGGTGATGATTGCAGGGTATGAGGCTGCTCATATGGCACGAGGGCGTCCTGAGCCATATAAACTAGAGCCAGGGCTTTTTCGGCTGTGGCTCCAATCTGGTGGAACGCCCTGTCACAAGAGACTAGGGCCCTACAGGACTTGACATCTTTCCGCAGGGCCTGCAAGACAGAGCTGTTCCACCAGGCCTTTGATCAGGGCACAGCCTGACTCCCTCCTTTGACAATCTTCCCAGAACTTTAGCCTAATGGTTGTCATCAATTTGAGTTGAATTCATTTTATAATGAAATGATTTTAGAATGTTGTACTATTTTATTGTTGTTAGCCGCCCTGAGCCCGGCTTTGGCTGGGGAGGGCGGGATATAAATAAAATTATTATTATTATTATTATTATTATTATTATTATTATTATTATTATTATTTCAAAACCAGCACTTTGAATTGGGCCCCAGAAACTATTGCAGCCAGACCAGGATTGGTGTTATGCGCTCAGATCGTCTTGCTCCACAGGAAGCAACCTGGCCACGGAATTCTGCACCAGTTTCCAAACCGTCTTCAGAGCTGGAGAACACAGAGCATTGGAGGGCCAGGACATTGGAGACTCAGGTTCTGAGCTTCAGGAGGTGACTTCAGCTTGTTTTTATTTTATTTTAAGGTTTTTATTTTTCAATATATATTAAACAAGGCTGGCTTGTTGAGCCCACAGAGGCATCCTGTAGATGCTGGGCTAGTTAGAGCCACATTCTGCCCCATGCCACACCCTTGCTGGGCTTGACCATGTAGCATTTGGTGCCAGTGTGCATCTAGTCACTTGATAATCTAATTGCTAATCTCTATCCTCTAGCCAAATTCTGATATATTATCCTCAAATTGTTAAAATCTCCTGATTTCACCATCATTGGCAATTGGAAAAAATGGGAGAGATTTCAAGGTTTTCAGGAGGGAGTGAAAGAGAAGTGACTGGAGACCACCACCACCACCATCATTATTATTATTATTATTATTAGCCTTTGTCCCAAGGTCCAAGGTAGGCCAAAATCTGGCCCACTAGCAGGCAGCTCCTCCCTCTCTCCCCATGTGGACATCCACCTCCTTGGGAGAAGGGAGGCCTGCAGGGATAGGGAATCATTGTAGGGTAGCCAAAAGATAGAGAAGAACTGCCTCCTAGGTTTAGCGTGGTTCAGATACCAATAAAATAAAAGGTCATGTTATAAACCTTTCAAAATGAGTGCCTAGTGCTTCTCTTTTTCCTGAGGCTTTTGTACTCGGTGGACTTGCAAGTATGAGAGAGCGAGGCAGACCCACGAGGCTACAATCCTAGCATTGAAGAAGCGATTCTGAATCTAAGGGCTGCATGCAACCCCAGAACCCCATTTGGTGAACCGAAACAAAAACCAGTGTGGAGATGCAGCTTGTTTTACAAAGCAAGTTCTGCAAGACACCTGGATTTTTGCCTCTGGAGAGATATAGCAAGAACCATTCCCCACCCTTTCTCGGAGTTTCCTGACTAGCCCACAGTGCTGATTTGCTTCTGGGAACTGCCTTAGACTGAGTCAGACCCATTTGCCCATACAGCTCAGCATTGCCTACACTGACTGGCAGCAGCTCACTCATCAGAGTTTCAGGTGGGGACTCTCCCAGTCCTACTTGGAGATGCCATCAGGGATTGAACCTGAGCAACCTCACGATCATAGGAAGGTGTCTTATACTCAGCCAGACCACTGGTCCATATAGGTTAGTATTGCCTACTCTGACTGGCAGCAGATCTCCAAGAAGGGTTCTTTCCCAGTCATACCTGATGCTGATGGGGATCGAACTTGGGAGCTTCTGTACAGAACAGATGCTCTACCACTGAGCTATGAAGTGAGCAGCCCAGGCAGCAGAGGCAGATCCCAAGGGCAGTTAACCTGCCCTGGGCTGGTACAGCTCAATTAATGGGCAGAGCCACCAGTGAGGTGATGGATTTCGGCCCCTGGCTTCCACAAGGCACTCAGGGGAGAAGGAGGAAGAGCGAGTTGGCTCCGTCATGGCAGCACCCGAGAGCCTCCTCAGCGGAGGCGAGACAGAAGCTGGTCTTGACAAGCACTCCTGTAATTGTTAAGAAACAGACTCCACCATTTCAAAACCAATGTCTTTGCTTGTCATCGTCTGATGACAGAAACTCCCCGGCTGCCTCGCGACAAAAAGGGAGAGGAGGCGCAACATTATTTCTCTTGCTCCAGAGGCAATTTTTTCTCTCTTTTGACAAGCGCAACTACGTTTATCTTGCACCTGTCAACACACAAACACACACACAGGTACACACCAAACAAGAGTGGTTTGCGGGAGGGGGGTGTTTGCTCAGGGGAGGGGGGGCTACCTTGCTGCATCAGCGCTCCCATGCCGAACCAGAAGCTGTTGAGGAGGGTGAAGTTGTTCTCCACGATGTCCGAGCCTGGATTGCAGGGGTGGGCGTCATACCATTCGTAAGGGCTAAACCTGCAGGGAGAGAGGAGGCGGGCATCGAGGGAGGACTCCTAACAGACAGGGCAGAAGAGGCTGGTGCAAAGAACAAACCAGCTTCAGAGGCAGCTGGCACAAGTCTGGCACTAATCCAGCCGGTCAAGGGCTATCTGGGGCTCATACATTTGTCTCTGTTACAGGGGAGTGCAGGGGGGTCAGGGACCTTTGTGTGAGAGAAAGGGGGGGGGAGAGAAGTGCCTCTTTCAGCAGCATGTGTTTTCACCCTCCATGCCCTTTATTGTTCAGTTGATGTCTGCCATGCAGGACTGACTTTCTCAGGATACCATTGCTATGCATGGCACTGGATAGAGTTGATGTCTGCCATGCAGGACTGACTTTCTCAGGATACCATTGCTATGCATGGCACTGGATAGAGTTGCAGGAGCAAAGGAAGGCAAATCCCTGTCCGGAGAGGATTGCATATGCCTTTACATTTTAGAAATCCCTTTCTTTTTGAGTAGCCATATCATCCCTATTTAATGAGGATGATGATGATGTTTGTGTCATTGGTGTACTGGTGCTTTCCTGAGGACTGGTCTCTGTCTGCCCTGACCAGCTGACAGTCTAAGATTTGACACTGAGAAGGCAGTGGGGAAGCCTGTGAGTGGGGTGGAGTCAGGGATAAAGAGGAGGTGATGACAATAACCTCTCCTAGCCATGGATCAGGTCCTATACCAGCTGCCTCAAGATTGCCACTTTTGTTTTACTGATAGTTTCCAACAGACGAGCAGAACAGGTGACCTGCTTCCCCTATCTCCCAAATTTGGGTTACAGAGCTACATACAGTCGTACTTTGGAAGTCGAACAGAAACCATTCCAGAAGCCCGTTCGGCTGCCAAAATGTTCGGAAACCAAAGCTCCTGCAGCCAATCGGAAGTCCCGTCAGACGTTTGGCTTTCAAAAATAGTTTGCCAAAACGTTCAACTTGCAAGGCGTTTGGGATCCAAGGTATGACTGTAATTGACTCCCCCTTCGAGCATCTCAACGATCAGGCCAAGATGACAGTGGTAGGCCTTTTCCAGGAAGCCTTTGCTGGCGTTGTCATGTAACATTCTCATCTCTGCTCCTTCCTCTTGCTGCAAAGATCCAATCAAAGCCAGACCAGTTAAAGGTGGATTTGAGGAAGAATGCAGGACCTTTGGAGCTCCTTACTCACATTTTCCAAAGGTCCTGCATTTTGCAAGATAATTAAATTAAATTCTGCATAATTGGCATAATTGCTTCGGAACCAAACAAATTAATTAGCATCGGAATTTCTCCCTCTGTGATTCCCCCTGGCTTTACAACAGCCTCATCTCCTCCAAACGCTCAGCTGAAATGGAAATGGAGAGATCTGCAAAGAGGAGGAGGAAGAGGAAGAAGGAGGAGGAGCAGCTTTGGCACATTTTATTATTTTGCCTCATTCATTTCCTGGTGTGTAAGCAGATACCACATTCTTGAATGTGTGTGGGGGGGAGGGCTTTGGCATTCCCAGACAATAAGGAGCCCAATCCAACACCCCCCAGCCCCTCCAAATACAGAACTTCACGCCTACTGGCAGCAGCAGCAGTAGCAGCGGGGCTGTCCTGAAACCCCAGGCGTCAACGCACAGCCAGCCACAATTAAACATTGTCATTCATGTTGCTGCCTTGACTACACTACAAAGCAACACCAGGCAAAAGTGGCCACCTAGAAGGTATCATTCTACATCTCTAACCTCAGCGACATTTGGTGGATTCAGGCTGCAGCTCCATCAATAAGCTTCAAAGCCTTATTAAAAGCTCTGATGGATCAAAACACTGCCATTTTGGGTCTCCAAGCAGCCACAGAGCTGGTTTTAAGCAGCAGTGACCTATGGTGGAACTGATGGAGGCCTTTATATGGTGGGGAGGCAGGGGGAGGCTGGTTTATTTCAAGAGAGGCTCATGCCTTTGAATTAAGGTGTGCCAATTTTGGCAACATTTTCCCCCTGCAGGCTAGAATTCTGGAGCTGGGCAAGGGTCAAGAGTGAAAATGTTCCCTATTATTGCTGGGGGTGAAAGATCCAATTTCCTCCTTGCCATGTCCTGGGACCCTTTCTCTGCACCCTCTTCTGCCCAGAAGCATCTGTGCACAGCCTTAATTATGCAGAAGACCAGGTGCTGCTCAAAGAGATAGATAAAAGCCAGGAAGGTTTAGAGGGGAAAGTTACAGTCACAGGAACTTTAATTGAAACCAAGCCAAGGGGAGAAATTGCGCTTTGCTCTGAAATACACTCACACACACTCATGTGACTTGGGGTTTATTTTGCCTGGAAATCTGTGCAGATGAAATCATCAAAGAGCAAATGTGGATGGAAAGACAGAGAGGCAAAACTAAGCGGAAGAATGAAAAGCAGAAAGCAATTCTCTCCCATTGTGGCCTGGCACAATGCAAAAATGGAGTGGAATTAATTCATTCTTTATAAGAATTTTAACTGTTGCCCCAAGGCCAGACAGGGAGTGTGTAGCTAAATCAGGTTTTGAATCTATTTCTCCCAGATTATAGTCTATCCCCCAGAAAACTTATTCTCTTCATCTGCTCTTTCCCCCTTTCGAGCTGCTCTCTTGCACCGGGACACTCCCTTGAGGACTAGCCACTCCACAAATATCAGGTTCTTTGGAGAAGACTCTCCTCAAAATTGGTGTCTAAGCCTCCTGCATTTTCCCCAACCCCTTTTTAAAAGCAGACCTCTTTGCCAATCCAGATGTGCCAGAGCAAACAAAGAGTCAGCCTTCCTCCCTGTGGAGCTGATTTTGACAAGTGCATTACATGAAATTAGAGTATTAGGCACTAAGCTCAGGTAATCGCCTCCAAATGCTGTAATGGCCCCAGGGAGCCAGCAAAGCATCATAAAAGCCGGAACACCGGGGCTAATGGAGATAATGATGCTGCCACCGCTGTGGTTCCATTCTGCCTCCCTCTCTCCTCTCAGATCCCAGCCTGGACAGGCTACTTCTCTGAAGGCAGGAACAGAGCTGACCCAGAGGGGATGGCCAGGGCCCCCAGCACCCACCATGTCCCCCCTCCCACTTCTCCCAATTATATCCTATTAACCCAACACGGGGAAGGAGGCCAGCAACCTCCCTACCTGCTACCAGCAAGAGACAGACAATTGCCTTTAACTGTGGGATGTGCTTTTCCCCGCTAAAGGTGGCTCTCTCCTGCACAGGGCTTGCAGCGCGGAGTTTCCCATTGCATCAAATGCCTGCCATTAGCAACCGGGTCAGTGCCACCCTCCACTTATTTTTCAGGATGTGCTGGATTGCCATTGTCCACTGCATGTGCGTTTTTCTCATTGGGTATGGGGCAGGAGGTGATGGGGACTGGAGCCAGGACTGGCTGCCACGGACAGAGGAGGGGAGACCCATTGTAGGGCTGCTCTTTCCTCAAGTGCCATAAAAAAGGTAAAGGACCCCTGACAGTTAAGTCCAGTCACAGACGACTCTGGGGTTGCAGCGCTCATCTATATTTACTGGCCGAGGGAGACGGCGTTTGTCCGCAGACAGTTTTTTCCGGGTCATGTGGCCAGCATGACTAAGCCGCTTCTGGCAAAACCAGAGCAGTGCATTGAAACACCGTTATCTTCCCGCCAGAGTGCTACCTATTTATCTACTTGCACTTTTTGCCGTGCTTTAGAACTGTGTGGTTGGCAGGAGCAGGGATTGAGCAACGGGAGCTCACCCCGTCGCGGGGATTCAAACCGCCAACCTTCTGATCAGCAAGCCCAAGAGGCTCAGTGGTTTAGACCACAGTGCTAAAGTGCCACAGTGGGAGTCAAAGTAGCACTGCTACACACAGACACCCTATCCCTCAAAAATGAAGGGACTTAGCATACAAGGGGAGAGGAAGGGATTTCCCCAAAGTTCTCTTAAGGGGTTGGCTTGTTCTTTAAGACAAGATGACTGGCACATGTGTATGCAGGCTACCTGAAAGGCCATCTTCTCCCATACCAACTTGCCTGGGCTCTGAGATCTTTAAGGGAGACATTTCTCTCAGTCCTGCCACCCTCACAGGAGTGCTTGGTGGAGACACAGGAGAGGGCCTTCTCAGTGGCTGCTCCAAGGCTTTGGCTCTCGCTCCCTAGCATAGAGCCAAATCCTAGGGACAGAGTTCCTTTTGGCGCCCCTTGTAGCTGGTGAGCTCCTTACCTGGCTATCACAAACAGCACGCAGCTCACTCCCAGGTAAGCAAGGAGGATGTACATCCAAATGTCAGGAGACAGAGGGTTCAGGAAAGAGAAGACACTGGGGTTGGTCCCATTGGCCTTCCGGTAGAGAATGCTGATCCCCAGAGTCATGAAGGGCTTGGAGAAATCAATCGCTTTCTCCCGGACATGGGTGATGGTGAGCGGAGCGACAGCCAGGTCAGCTTTCTGTGGAGCAGGAGAGAGAGAGGGAGCAGTTGTTAGAAATGGAGGAGGAAAAGGGTGGTGGGCAAGGCTCTTGGGTCTCTCGAGTCACAATCTTGTTTCCCCAAGGGCTGCTATGAAGATTGATGTCTTGGGAACTTCTGGCCCACAGGTCAAATCAGGCCTTACAGTTGGGCCTGCAATGCCTTTTCCTCCCGGCCACACCCATCTGATGCCATGTGATGTCCAATATGAGTCAGGTAAACCTGCAGCTGCAAAGGAGCCATTGGCAGCTTCAGAGGGCTGCCCTGGGGTTCCTTTGCAAACTCTGCATGCATTCTGGGTTGCTTAAAATTTAGCCCTGAATGGAAGCCGTGCTATTGGGATTGGATCCACTTGGGAGCTTCTGAATCAGAGCTCCCAAATGTCCTAGCACACCCTTCCCCAAGCCAGTGCCCTCTGGGTGTTCTGGACCACAATGGCAAGCTAGCTGGGGCTGATAGGAGTTATAGTCCAGAACATCAGGAGGGTAGCAGAGTTGCCCTAGGAACTCAAGGGTTGAAATCACATCCCTGTTCTTATCCCTTTTGGTTTTTTGGGGGGGTCTATAAAGTGTCTCAAAGGAAAGTTAAGAGAAAATTATAATTTGGTCTGATTGGCACAAATGCTTTTGATAAGGAAGACAGACACAGCAGGACCATCCCTGTTCTTTCCATAGCAGACCCAAACTACTGGTTCTCCATTCATGTCAGGGACTGTGGCCACTCGACCCTTTTAGTGGCCATTAGCGTTCATTGATGCCAAGGTGGATGGATGAGAATAAGGTTATCTATGGCTACTAGCCAAGATGGCGATATTCTGTTTCCACTGTTGGAGGTAGTAATGTTTCTGAGTACCAGTTGCTGGAAACCACAGGAGAGGAGAGGGCTGTTGTGCTGGGATCCAGCATCTAGTTGGCCACTGTGATAACAGGATGATGAACTAGATTGGTTATTGGCCTGATCCAGCTGGCTCTTCTTGTGTTCTTAAGAATGCATTGCATTTGGGGAAATTGCTGCAAAAATACATATACGAGGAGAAATGTGCACAAAGAAGCAATTGTTTCATGCATACTTTTTAAAAGTTTGCAAATGGGGTGAAAAGAACTTAAGATAGGAAAACAATGATAAACTGAGAGAAATAGGAACTGACCAGTTCACTCCTTCCTAGGCTGCTACAGGAACAGCAAAAGTATACCAAGGCGGAAAAGGAGGGAACAACACATGTATAGTTTAGATATTAGATAAACTAATTGTCTGCACCACTGGGAGACAAGGTAAATAATGCATATTTTATTGATTTTACTGGGAACACAAGAGACCGTGGATAAGATACTTGGTTATTAGTTCCAGCAGATTTCAGCAGATGACTGGCAAAAGATTCATAATGGCTGATTCCAACATTATGTTCCTTCCTGGTGGGAGAGCGGGACAGTCTTCCCACCACACAGGGAACTGGAAGGTCACCCAAGAAGTAACATGGACAATCTGATCACAGCATGTCTCAAAATGGTCAGCTGGGCAACTGCTTTCCATTCCAGCTTTTTATTCTGCCCCACGTACATCACCATTGACAACAAAATTTGATCATGCACATGTCTGTCTAGTTACCAGCCTTCACCAAAACAATGGCTTGTTTGAACTTCATTCTCTCCTGCCCTTGTGGTTTGCAGCGGCAAGTGTCTGTTAAAGGATCCCATTCCCCAAATTCAGAATTGAATAAAAGGGATAGACGGCAGTGCAAAAATTGGCATGCAAGTCAAGACTGCTAAAGCCACATCTCCAAAGTCATTTTTTCTAAAGGCTATCAAGAGATGCACAAACATAGCAAGATAAAAAAAAAGCCTAGATCAGACCACATTTAAAGACATCTAGGTTGGAGGCACAAAGCCAGCCTGAGAATTTCCACCAATCCTACTAGAACTCTTTTCGCTCTGAGAAATTCATTCCAAGTGTAACACAGCAATGTCTGACAACACGTCTTCCCTGAGAGAGTTTGTGAAGATCTCTACATATGTTTTGCCTTCAAATTTACCTTCCTTTCGGGTCAGCTTAATCAAAATATTTAGTGGACTCAGGCAAACATAAAGAGGCAAAGATAAACTGTGTGTTTCAGGAGTTCCTTCCCATCCTCTGGCCCTTGTTTTCTCCATGCCAAATTCCTGCAGCTCAGAACATACAGGGCATAGAATCAGGGCATGTCTCGAAAGCTTGCCCCTTTCCATCTGAGGGCAGTGATTTTACCCGCATCTGCACTAAACAATCTCTCAGCATCAGGTGCAAAAACATTCCCAAGCCAGGTAGCTGTAAGGACATAAATTGCTGGAATTTACTGTCAATAAATGCTCTGTTTATGGTGAAAGCATTAAATCAACTGTCAAATCATCCCCCAGGGACAGAGATTAGGACTGAGCTGCAGTTATCAGTGGGGAGGCATTTCTGTTCAAGAAAAACCCTCCGTTTTTTCTGTGTTCTTCATGCCAAGTAGAAATCACAGAGAACAGCTTATATTGGTGCAAAATGTCCAATAAGGACAAAAAGATGTAGCCGCTTTTGATACAAGCCTCTTCTGCGGTAGGAGTGTCAGAACAAGGCTACCTTGGAGCTATAAGGAACAGAAGGCAGAAGGAATTACGTGTCATAAAGAGTTTCTTTTGAATAAGTTTTACTGATGCAGTTCACTGTCCTGGGGTGTTACGATGGGCAGGAGTTGAGGTGGCTTTTAAAAACAGCAAAAGATGAATTCATGGATAGAAGATTAACCAAGCTACCATCCCTGATAGGTACATGAAGAACCACGCCCAGGATAGCAAATTTCTGAGTATAGTCGTACCTTGGAAGTCGAACGGAATCCGTTCCGGAAGTCCGTTTGACTTCCAAAACGTTCAGAAACCAAAGCGCGGCTTCTGATTGGCTGCAGGAAGCTCCTTCAGCCAATTGAAAGCCGTGGAAGCCCTGTCGGATGTTCGGGTTCCAAAGAATTTTCACAAACTGGTACACTCACTTCTGGGTTTGTGGCATTCAGGAGCCAAAACGTCCGAGTACCAAGGCATTTGGGATCCAAGGTATGACTGTACTAGATACCAGGGGAGGGGGGGCAAAGAAGAGAGGGCACTGGTTACCTTTATGCCTTTCCTATGAAAATCCCAGGAGGTATCTAGCTGGAATCAAAATGCTGGTCTAAGTGGATCTTTAAGACCAAAGACCACAACTTTATAACCTTCTGCTATTTGATATGATCATCTATAGAGATACCGTTCATTAACCACAAGCAAAAGTGAGTTTTGCACAACACCAAAGAATCCTATATACCCAAACCTATAATGAATATGAAGAAAGCCAATTCCCACATGACCACATAATTTAAGAATGTAAGAAGAGCCTGCTGCATCCAGCCAATGGCTCGTTAAGTTCAGCATCCGGTTCCTCCAGAGATTTCCAACAGCATCCCAAGGTGTCAATGCTCAGGCATGAAGGTCTGTGGAGAGGGTCCCCTTCAACTGCAAGTTGTTTGGGGATACAACAGAGGAGGGGGTAGAGCTGTGTCCCTGATCTCCTCCTCCTCCCTGCATTTGCAGGATCTTGCTGTCTTCAAAGGTTACCATCTACATTTTTCAAAATTGTGTGTGAAATGAATGGCCATGGTGTGGGATGGTCCTCTGAGCCAGCAGGGGATTGTCCCAGCTGCAGGAGGAAATGGCCATTTTGCAGGGTGGGGGGAACTGAACACATAAACCTTCCAAGGCATGAGATGTTCTTGCTTTTATTGCTTCAGGCCAGCCTCAAAACAAAGGACTTTCTAAAAAGCTGTTTTTTCCCTTAAGGCTGCACTGCCTGTGGCCAGACCTGCCAGGATCACACAGCGGGGGGCAAAGTAGAGTCCCTGCAATCCCAAAATGCAAGTGCTGACAAATAAAGGGCAGCACCACTGGTTGTCCTCATCTTCACATCACAGGCCACCTGTGGTGGGAAACAGTGTGCCTTGGGCGAGTCACGAGGTACGTGACTCATTGACTTTCTGCACAGGGGGGAAAGTTGTGCGTCAAACGATGGGCTGACCAAGTCAGGTCCCTTGACAGAGAACAAGCATCACAGCTTTCTGCAAGGTTCCACAGATCTCAGGCATTTGGCCTGAAGTTACAGTGTACTCCCCTCAACACACACTGCAAAAGGATATCTATAGGATACATCTATAGTTTGTTCAGACACTCACCTAAACACACTGACATTCATACTGTGGATGGCAGCGTGCACACAACAGCAGTCCCCACACCAAGCCCCAACTATTGGAGGAAGGCTTTGCTTTATTATTACATTTATATGACAACTTTTCCTCCAAGGAGCTCAGGGCGGTGTATGTGGTTCTCCTCCTCTTCCTTTAATCCCTGCAACAATCCTGCAAGGCAGGCTACACTGAGAGGCAGTGACTGGCCTGAGATTACCCAGTGAACTTCATGGCTGAATGTGGATTTGAACCTTGGTCTCCCAGGTCTCCATCCACCATCCGTAATCACTACAGTTGCGCTGGCTTTTTAGAGTAGTCTGACTTGGAAGAAATGAATGCTGCTTCCTGGCTGGGCTGATGCAGTGCTGTGTATGTACATGTTTCTCCCACTCTTAAACCCAACAAATCAATTGCTAAGGGAGACATTCCGTGGGGTCGGTGGATGTAAAAGAGAGAGCCTCCCCCCACTTTGATGCCTCCAAACTGCATTCAGAGGGTAATTATGCCATTAATTATTTTGTTCTGTTTTACAGGTTCAGTCTGAGGAGGCCTCTGAATTGAAATTTGCATGGAAGGCACTTCAGTGGGCTGGGAAATTAGAAGTCCCTCAGATTGCATTATTTTCTTCATGGTATTATTAGAGCATCAAGAAATTGATGCCGTTCTGGAGCCTCATGTGACTTCCTGCACACAGCGGCCCAGATTAATCACCAAATGGTTAAAATAAATGGTGAAAGGTGGATCTCCTATTAATAAAAGGATTATTAAAAAGACATCCTTCCCATAGGGAAGCAAGGCCCCTTTGCTCTCGTGTTATTGTACTACACCAACTGATTATCTGCATAAAACGGTGCAAGCTGTCAGAACCATGGTTCCTGTAAAACGACAGTAGCCAGGCCAGCCGCAGCCACGACAGCCCGGTTTTAGGATCTGTGGCTCCTGCCTCCCTTCTGCCCCGATACGGTGCACAGCTCTGAGCAAAGTCATTTACAGTTTCAATTAAAACGGAACCCACTTAGCATTGCAGGGGGGTAATTAATGTTTGTGGAGTGCTTTGAGGGACTCCGATAAAAAGATGCTCTCAACAGGCAGGTGGTAATTACTGTTTGAAAGTGCTCTTACGAGCGTGGTTGTTTTTTTAAAATTGCTGTTTCAAAGCGTTTCTTCTTTTGCAAAGTGACTTTGTACCTGTTGCTTGTGCGAAAGCACGTTGGGGTGTGCTCGTCCACAAGTGCCAGTGTGGTGTAGTGGTTAAGGTGTCAGACTAGGACCTGGGAGATCAGGGTTCAAATCCCCCATTCAAGCTGACCGGGTGATCCTGGGCCAGTCATTCGCTCTCAGCCTAACCTACTTCACAGGGTTATTGTGAGGATAACATGGGGCGGGGCAGAACTAGTCCAACCCTCTGCTTGCACCCTGGCATGCTGTAATATCAGAGCTTATTCACACCTCCTCTTGTCCCACTGGTTTCCCCTGGGGGAAACTGCTCTTTAGTGCTCAGTTGGAGCAAAGAGCAATTCAGGTTTCCCCCAGATGGACGTTTGCTCCGATTTAGCACTAAAGAGTGGTTTTCACTAGGAAAGGAGTGTGGGCAAGAAGGAAACTGCTCAGACCCAAGCCTAGAAAGCTCAGGTCAAGCAGAAAATTGATTGGGCCCATGCTTTCAAGGCAGGGGTGCCACCTTTCCCTCAGGATTGTGGGTGCCCACCACCACAACATGGACATGCGACATCGCCTGCATGTAGTGCATGCGATCTCACTCACACTACGTGCAGGTGTGGGCGAGTGATGTTGCAAGTCCACATTGCGGCAGCCAGCAGCAATGACTCCTCTTCCTCCTCCTCCTATCTGCAGCCAGCGAGGCACCCTTCTCCATGGGGATGGGCAGAGAGACTACCTCCATGTCTGAGCCCCACCCCCCAGAAAAGGGTGCCTCATTCGTTGGCCGAGGAGGGCAGAGCTGAACTGCTTCTCTCTTGGAGGCAGTGCCGCTGCCACCTGCCGGCCTTCTTCACTGACTTTGTGGGTGCCCAGCCCCCACAATTATATTATTGTGGGTGCCCAAGCACCCAAGGGCCCCTGCAGTTGGCTCCTATGGCATGGGGCAAGCAGAAGCGTGGACAAGCCCTCAGACCCAAGAGAACAGAAATGAAAGGCTTCTCTCTGCTTGCCACTTGAGTGCTAGAGAACCAGGAATGGCTCAGAAATGAGCCAGGCTATTTTCCTGCTTTTTTATTTTATTAAAGATTCCAGTCCAACTGAACCTGAGTGAGGAGAAGCTTGCCCGATAATGCTATCCACGGAGGCTATCCAGCTTAGCGTTTTCAGAGAAGGGTGTATTACTGCTAGGCGGAGGAGAACTGCCTCTGTCGCCTGCAAAAGATTTCCGCATCTACTCAGCTGGAAGGAAGAATCTGTTTACGTTCTGCTTTTGAAAATAAAACTGCATTTCCAAATAAATGAAATTGTTCCTCACACCTGGTCCTGCTTTTTTTTTTTTTTTAACAGCTTGTCCTCTGCTTTGCAGCAGGGTCAGGCTATAAAAGTGCAAGCATGGATCATCAAGCGGAGATATTGCCTCTGGGATTCTGGACCGCAGGCCACAGCTTAACTCCTTGAGAGACTTATTGCTTAGGGCTGGATGTGACTCCAGCCCATGCCTCTCAGAAGCACTCTGCTTTTCAGTCTGCCTCTGATTCTCTGCCTCTTCCTAAGCAAGTCCTTCTAGTTGTTTGGGAGCTAAAAGGTATGTTTCACCAGACACCTTTTCTAGGGACTACAACAACTACCTCAGAGCATATACACAGAGCAATCTCTCCATAGAAGCACAATATTTGGTTCTGTTTCTTGCATCATGCTCAAGAGGAACATGTGGAAATGGATGCTGGATGGATGGACAGATGATGCACAGAATAGTCTTAAGAGGATTGTAGATCTAAGTAACTACTAATAAACAAATGTATGAAAATTCAGATTCTCTCTCTCCACCAATACTCCAGTTTCAGTCCAAGCTGTTAGTTTCTGTGTGTTGCCACTGTGCAGTGCTCTTGGAGTCACAAGACTCTGTTTTGCATTCCAGAGCTTCCAGGCTATTGGAAGTCTCACGGAAGACAGGAGACGGATGTGATGTTACTGGTTTCCTGTTCCTTTGTTTTTCAGTTGCTCTCTGCTCTCACAGAGAGAGGATGTATTTTCTTTTCTGTCTGCGTAGTTAGGAATAAAACTCTTTTTGCCATGTAGCTCATACTATCTCGTTCTTCCCTGTGCTGGATACTCTGCGTAATGGGGGAATGTGCTTGGAACCTCATCATGGCTCAGGTTGTTAATCATGTCGGAGGAGCTCGGAGGAGCTCGGTCGAACACAAGTCTGACACAAGCCACAGTTTCAAGTGGATAGTATCCATGTCTCTTTCTCCTTCCTTCAATTTTCCTTCAATTTTCCCTTCAGTTTTTAATTTGATCATGGATGGGTTGGGGACAAACAAGCTGAGGCTTAATCCAGACAAGACAGACAAGGCAGAATGCCTCCCTTAGAAACTCAAGTGCACAGTTTAGGGGATGTTCCTGGACCCAGCCTTGAGCACAGATGCTCAGCTATTGACTGTGGTCAGGACTGCATTTACCCAGCTTAGGTTGGTGCACCAGCTGTGCCCATTCCATGAGCCACCAGCGATGGGCATGGTGACACATACCTTAGCGACATCTCAAATAGACTACTGCAATGTGTTCTCTGTGGGGCTGCTTTTGAGAAGTCTTCAGAAATTCCAGCGGCTCCAGAACGTTGTGGCCAGTCTGCTGAACAGAGCTGGGTACTGGGAGTATGTTACTTCTTTATGACAGCTCATTCGTGGGCTTCTGGTTAATTTTTTGAGCCCAATTCAAAGTTATAATCATGACCTTAAATAAATGGCTTGGGATTTCTGAAGTCTGTCTTCTGTCCTCCACACCTGTCCAGTTATTAAGATCTTCTGGAGAGGTTCTCCTCCCTATCAGAGTTGTGTTTGGCTGAGGTGCAGACGAAGGCCTTCTCTGTGGCTGCACACAGGTTTTTTAACTCCTTATCCAGAGGGGATAAGGCATGCCCTCTCCTTAAGGGCCTTCTCCTGCCATATGAAAACTTTTCCTTTTTTGATGAGCATCTGACCTGTGAAGCGGTTAAGTTTTAACTGTCCTGTTTTTATCTGCTTTTCAAACCAATATCCTTACATGTTTTCTGGTTGCATTTATTGATGTTATTTTTTGCTGCTAGCCAGGTTGAGCCTCGTGGGTCCCTTCTGGAAAGCCAGGATAGAAGTATTTTAAGCAAACAGACAGACAAATGAAGGTGGGAAAGAAGGATGATGCAGCATATAGAATCATAGAGCTGTAGAGTTGGAAGGGATCCTGAGGAACATCTATAGATAACAGCAAGGTACTTACATGATCAATCAGCTCCCTGATCATGCCGTTCCACTGCCCCTTCTCATCCTGGGCTCCGTACTTCCCATCCTCCACCACACGGATCTCATAGCTGAAGCCAAGGATTCGGGAGACTTCCCTTAGGAGATCAACGCAGTAGCCTTCAAAGCGGTCATTCCCAGAGAGCACGGTGTCCGACTTGATGAACATGACAAAGGGTTCCTCCTACACAGGAAGGAAGGAAAGAGACAGAGAGTAGCTAAACAACCACATGCAAGCTAAACCCACCAGCCACAGAAGCCACTTTGAGTAGCCACAGGACAGATCTGGGTGTCTCTCTTTGCTTTCTGGCACTGCAGCCAGTTTGGTCGTTATCCTGCCTGCTACCATTATAGCATTATAACACTAATGAGAGCCAGTGTGCTGTAGTGGTTAGATGGTCTGACTAGGACCTGGGATCTCCTTGGAGAAAACAGGAGAATATAAATGCAGCAAATAATTGAATATCATATTCCATCCTTAGAACTTGTTTCATTTTCAATGTGATTCAAAAACTTCAGTGGCCACAATTCAAGACAGAAGTAAACACCCTGAAAGAAGTCATTGAACTCTATTGATTTTAATGGTTGCTCATCTCTGCTTTGGATTGTGGCCCCTTGTGCTCAGCTGTTTGGAATGTTCCCATTTTACAGATCAGGAACCGAGGCCATCAAGCATTATTTTCCTAAGGACGTGGTAGAAGGCCAGAGTGGGTTCATGGCTACCTGTCTTACCGTTGGATCTTACCACTCTTTGGAACTCAGCCTGACTGCCCCACATAAAGATTGTCTTCCATGAAAGACCCATAAAAAGAGGCTTTCTCCATGTTTGGAACCTGCTAGGCAGGGTGAAGGAGCTACTTCAGTGGTACTGATATTTTTTTGGGCCAGCACCCCTTTGGTTCTATAAACTCTTCCCCAGTTCCCCCTCCCCTTTAAAAAGCACTCTTCAGAATAGCAGTTTCCACAACCCCCCAAGGACTGCAAGAACACAATAAAATTTGAAACAGTGACAATTAATTGCCCACTTAATCAAAATCCAATAAAATTATTTATTTAATTGATTCAACAAAACCAATGAACTTGCTCCAGGGATTCTAGCATTTCAAAGTCTCATAGTCATTTGCACCTCTGGTATCCGCCCCTCCTCCCCCCAATAGCGTCACCATCTTGCTTCTTATTGCCCACCCTTGGTAATCCCGATGCCCCGCAAAGAGGCGATACAACCCACTTTGGAAACCAATGGGTTACCCAGTCCTTAAAATAGGACAAACAACTTGCAGCACCCAAAACTGGTACAGCTGGTGGACAAGGAACAGCTGAAAGCAAGGCAGCAGGCAGGATGCCCATCCAGGAAGCTGGTCCTCGTGCCTTTTGCATTCGTACTCAAGTCTAGAGACCGGCAGGAGAAGCCATAAAGCCCCATTAATCTCGGGAGGCACAAAACAGAGTGGAGGGGGGCGTGTTCCTCCATATTTAACAGTTGAAGAAGCAGCATCGTGTAGGAGCTCTGCTCGCCTCTGCACCGCTCCTGGAGGTCTCAGACATTTCCTAGGGGGTAATTCTTGAACTCTGCAAGGCACTTATTCACGGGCTGTTTCACAATTTATTACTGGAAACGGTCAGACATTCAATTCGCAGGCTTTCAGGGCTCGCTAATCGATTTCTCAGCGAAGGTGCCCTCAATTTCAGGATCTTCACAGCTCTCCCGTGGCTTGAGGAGGAGAGAGCGGAATGGTCTGTTGGAGAAACATCATCGGCCAGCTGCCACCGACAAGGCGCTGCAGGATGAGCAGGAGGGTGTGAAAGGGGGAGGCAGGGAGGAATCCCAGCATCACGTCTTGGTGGCGGCAGCATCAGCAACAGTAAACGGGCCATCAAGTGGCAGAGCGGGAGGGAGCTGTGGGTGATTCCCTGCTTGAAAAGGGAACTGTTGCAGAACTCAGGTAAAGCAGAAGCGCTCGTCTCCACCTGCGTCATCAGCGCAGAATCATAGAACACTTGGAAGGGACCCCAAGGGACATCTAATTCAATCCCCTGCAACCCAGGAATCACAGCTAATGAATCTGAACTCTACAATTCTATGATTCTATGACTTTATAAGGCAGTCTAGAGCCCCATCTGCACTATACACTGAAAGCAGCATCACATCACTTTAAACTTGGGAAGGGTATCGTGGATTCATAGAATTCTAGAGTTGGAAGGAACCCCATGGGTCATGAAGTCCAACCCTCTGCAATGTGGGAATCACAGCGAAAGCATCACTGACAAAAAAGGTATTTAAAAATACTTTTCTGAAGAAACCAGAGGCCTTTCTCCTGGGTATCGTTGGCCAATTGGTGTCAAAGAAGGACAGAACTTTTTTTATGTATGCTACAACAGCAGCAAGAATACTTATTGCAAAGTATTGGAAGACAGAAGAACTACCCACCGTGGAAGAATGGCATATGAAAGTTATAGACTATATGGGACTGGCTGAGATGACCGGCAGAATTCGAGACCAGGGGAAAGAGACGGCGGAAGAAGATTGGAAGAAATTTAAAGACTATCTTAAGAAATATTGTAAAATTGCTGAATGTTAAGACGATGTTGATTTTGAAATTAAGGGGTTGCCAGCTGTAATTTTTATGTGGATATGAAAAGTAAGTTTAAAAATTTAACAGAAACTAAGGGAAGGATTTGTTGAAAAGACTTAATTAGAGAATGGAATACAGTAAGGAGAGGTATGAGGAGGTCGGGAAAGTAAGTTTCATGAACATAAGGGAATGAAGTTATACATGTGGTTTTTTGTTTTTTTGTATGTATTTTTGTTTTTTGTTTTTTGTGTTTTTTGTGATGTTCATGTTTTATAAAATTTGTGAAAATCCCAATAAATATCTTTTTTTTTAAAAAAAGAAAGCATCACTGACAGATGACCATGCATCTGTAGTTTGTTACAGATGCTGAGAGTAGTTAAAGGTAAAGGGACCCCTGACCATTAGGTCCAGTCACGGACGACTCTGGGGTTGCAGCGCTCATCTCGCTTTATTGGCTGAGGGAGCTGGCATACAGCTTCTGGGTCATGTGGCCAGCATGACTAAGCCACTTCTGGCAAACCAGAGCAGTGCACGGAAACACCATTTACCTTCCCGCTGGAGCGGTACCTATTTATCTACTTGCACTTCATGCTTTCGAACTGCTAGGTTGGCAGGAGCTGGGACCGAGCAATGGGAGCTCACCCCGTTGCGGGGATTTGAACCACCAACCTTCTGATCGGCAAGCCCTAGGCTCTGTGGTTTAACCCACAGCACCACCCACATCCCTTCTGAGAGTAGTTAGGACACCCCAGTTTTCCTCACAGAGCTACAGCTCCCTAAGGTCCTGGGAAGAGATATTTGTAGCTCTGTGAGGGAATTAGGGGTCTTCTAAGAACTCTCAGCATCCTTAACAAACTACAGTTTCCAGATGCTTTTGGGGGAAGCCATTACTGTTTCAAATGGTATGATTCTGCTTTAAATCTAAAATAGTGATGGGGCCGAGGTTTAGTATGAGGTACTGGCTAAACTGTTCAAGGTGACCAAGGCCTCCCCCTGCAGGCCAAAATGATGCTGTGATTCCTGCATTGTGAGTGGTTGGACTATCAGGCATGTCCAACTCCCAAGAGACTGCGATCTACTCCCAGTATAAAAAAAACTGTCAGTGATCTACCCATTGTCATTGGAGGGAGGAGGAGCATGGGGGAGGTGGATGAGTTGTTGAGCTTTTTTTTTTAGGAAGGAAGTGCCCAGAGTTGCTGAGCTTTTTGGGGGGAGGATTGCACAGAGTTGTTAAGCTTTTCTCCCGTAAGGATCCCACGACCTACCAGGATCAGCTGGAGATCTACCAGTAGATCGTGATCTACCGATTGGACATCCCTGGACTAGATGATCCTTTGAGTCCCTTCCAACTCTACAATTCCGTGATACTATGGCAGCTGATCTAGACCCACAAGGACCAGCTGCTGATGCTGTAACAAAGGCTTAGAGAAACTATCAAAATGGGGGGCTGATTTGGAATTGGGAGAGAGGAGCCTGTGTGTGTGGTTTCAAAGAGAGAAACTCTTCAATCTCCCTGCAGCATCCTCTCCAAGGGATTCGCCTGCCCCCGCCCTCCCCCTATCTACCTCCTGAAGTAACAAAGCTCGGCACTCTGTCTAACACATCTGAATCTAAACCAGTGGGCCTCATCATAATTCATTAGAGACTGGATGGAAATTCACCCTGAACTGATGCCTGCCTTCAAATCCAATAGCAGGCCCTGTGTGCTAAATGTGCTGTGACAGTTAGTGGCCAAGGAGACCGGCTGAGTATCCAAGCGTCACTGGCTAAGTGAATTACTTTGGGGTAGTTTGTCACTTGGGTGCCTAAGTGTGTGTGTGGGGGGGAGGGGAGCCCCAAGAGACGCTGAGAAATGTCAATAAGAGCTCCTGAGAGATGACAAGGGCTTGGTTGCAGTTTCAGAGCGGGTGGTTTGTGGGCTGTGGGAAGTTGCTCCCTAGCACAGGGCTGAGCAGAAGACAGATTGGAATCCACTGGTGAGAGGAAGTGTGAACATGTATTTGTTAGAGTGTCAAATCTCCCACTCGACCTTGAAGTCCACTGGGTGACCTCAGACCACTCAGTGCTTCTCAGTTTAACCTACCTTACAGGCTTGTTGTGGGGATTATTTAAGGAGGAGGAGAACCATATACACCACATTGAGCTCCAATGGCTTCACTGAACCCCAGTCTGGATGCTGCCAAGGAGAACATTGTTTTGGACAGTTCCCTGCCATGCCCAAATAGTTCAGCCCTTTTGCTATCAGGATAATCTGTCCATACACAATGTAATGTATGAAAACACAGCTCAAGCTCCATGTTGGTTTCTCCTTAGAAGGTGGTGGTGGGGTTACGATCTAGAAATGGAAACAGCCAAATCTAGGAGGGGTTAGATAGAACCCTGCAACCACTTACCAGGACTGTGGTGACAATCAAGGATCTGTTGGTGAGGGAATCTGTCACATTGGGGCCTTGCCTTCGGGAGATTTCAGTGATATTCAGTCCATCAGATGGGCTCCACACACCAACCTGTGATGGAGGCAAAGACAAGAAATGAGCAAAAATTCAACCAAACCATCAGGCCAGACCAGTCAGGCCACTGAAGGGAGAGAGAACGGTCAAGGGAGTGGAGTGGAGGTCAGATATTGTGAAATCAGTCTCTAGTTCAGGGGTGGGGAACCTGATGCCCTCCAGATGTGGCTGGACTACAACTCCCATCATCCATGACCACTGGGTCATGTTGGCTTTTGGGGTTGATGGGAGTTGGAAGTCCAACAGCATCTGGAGGGGAACTGCAAATGATCCCCATCCCTGCTCAAGTGAAAACAGGCAAATAAATGAGAGAGAGGGCTGGGCAGTGCTTGTACAAACTGTTACTTTGATGTAACACAACCTTAACATGATTTAAAAACATAAGAAGAGCTTGCTGGTTCAGGCCAGAGTGACCCATCTAGTCTAGGCTGCTGTTCTCACAATGGCCAACCAGATGTCCCAACAGGAAACTTGCAGGCAGGATTTGAACACAAGAGCACTCTTTCCACCTCTGGTTTCCAGCAACTGGCATTCAGTATCATTGCTGTCTCTGACAATGGAGGCAGAGCATGGCCATCATGGTGAATTTATCCAGGCCTCTTTTAACACCATCCAAGTGTGAGCAAGTTCCATAGTTAAAGTATATGCCAAATGTATTGCTTTACTTCAGTGAGGCTGAAAGGGGAGAGGTCTCATCATCTGGGCAGTCCAGGACCTCCATACACACTACCCAAGCTCATGCCCTGGGGAGGTCACTTCAGTGCTGCTAATACAGCGGTTTAACTTTGCCCCCCAAGCATAGTTTATTGTCTCTTGAGACAGACAGATGGCGACAACAACAACATAAAAAAGATGTTTATGTGTCTGCATGTGCGTATAATGACTAAGTGATGTTTCAAGCTATCTTAGGAGAGGATTCAAAAGACTTTGTAAAAACTAACACAGGAGGAAGCTGGCATATTTCACAGTTTCACCTGTGGATTATCTGAGAACCCCTGAGTCTTAAATGACACAGTCTGCAAGGCAAGAAGCTCTGTATTACATTTTACAAGGACCCCCCCCCAAATCTGCACAACCACACAACCACACAATGTTTTACTGATATAAAGTAAAACTTCATTGCATTGCAGGGGGTTGGACCAAACAACCCTTTGAATCCCTTCCAACTCCATAATTCTATGATTCTATTAAAACACCAACAAGACCCCTTTCAAAAGAGTTGATTGTTTATATACAAAAGACAGTTCCCTCCCTTGGTCCTCATCTTCATCCTGCAATAACCCATGTGTGGAAAGATTATTAGTGGGTATGATGATGTGGGTGGCGCTGTGGGTTAAACCACCGAGCCTCTTGGGCTTGCCGATCAGAAGGTTAGCAGTTCGAACCCCCGTGACGGGGTGAGCTCCTGTTGCTCGATCCCTGCTCCTGTCAACCTAGCAGTTCAAAAGCACATCAAAGTGCAAGTAGATAAATAGGTACGGCTCCGGGCGAAGAGGTAAACAGCGTTTCTGTGCGCTGCTCTGGTTTGCAGAAGCGGCTTAGTCATGCTGGCCACATGACCCGGAAGCTGTACGCTGGCTCCCTCGGCCAATAAAGGGGATGAGCGCTGCAACCCCAGAGTCAGCCACGACTGGATCTAATGGTCAGGGGTCCCTTTACCTTTACCTTTATGATGACATGCAAATGGCAAGCAAGAACCCTCACTGCAGTTTGTGACGATGACTTGGCAAAAGAAAGAAAAATACCCTACATGGGGGACCCACGCCTGCCTAAATAAAAATAAAAATCCCTCAACAACACTGTCCCACTATCCCACCACTGCCAGCACTGCCACCATGCTAGCTGGATACAGGATTTGTAATTACACATGTTTAATGCCTCCATAATCCGTTAACTTGCAGGAGGCAAGGAAGATCAGAAGCTCACCGCTAAACCTCAGGCAAATGTAAACTATTAAACATAATGCAAAAGTACATATCAGGATTTGCTCCCGGTTTGGGCACACAATTAATTCAGATTACCTATTGACTGGAATTTAATGTCCTGACTCCACAGAGATTTGACACAGACACTCTAAAGCCTTTCTTGAGCTAAGAGAGAGCTTAAGCACACACACTCGAGAGAAAGAGGGAGAGAGAAAGAGAGCGTGAAAATGTGATAAGAACTCGCTGGAAATGACGGAAATTAACTGAGTCCCAGCATCCTTGCAGAGCATACAAGAAGCTGTTAGGGAATTTTAATGCCACATGCTGGCCTTAAGTAACAGTGTCCAGAAATTATCTTGAATAAGCACCAGTGCTGGAAGAAATACGAACACCAACACCTTGAGAAAGTCTTGCAGAAGGTAAAAAAGTCTGGAGATATTTTTAGAATGGGATCTATTTTTTTCTCCCCTGGATGACCCAATTAAATGGATGTGAACATGGCAAGAGCCAGTGTGGTGCCGTGGCTAGAGTGGTGGACTAGGACCCAGGAGAGCAGGGTTCAAATCCCCACTTGGCCATGAAGCTGACTGGGTGACCTTGGGCCAGTCACTGCCTCTCAGCCTAACCTACCTCACTGGGTTGTTATGGGGCTTAAATGAGGAGGGGGACAGACCATGTATGACACATCAAGCTCCTTGGAGAAAAAGGTGGGATATAAATGCAATAAATAAAATAAGACATCTTCACAAGAACACCTCCCGTTTCCCAGAAAGAAACGTTTACTTGTAGAATCCACAGAATTAGACACATTCCTGGAGGACAGCTATTGGCTAGGAGAGCTAAAATAAAACCTCCATGTACAAAAGAAGTCCGCTTGTGATGATCAGATGCTGATCTCACAGCAACCATGTAAAGGCAGTAAGGCTGAAAGACGGTGAGCTGGCCAATGAGATTCAGGAATGAGCAAGGGATGAGCAGGACTCACCAGTGCAATGCCAACCCTTCAGCTCCTATATGGTTCTCAGGGTCAATGGATAGTCTGGGGGAGCCCAGGAGAACTGCTCTGATCTTTGAAAAGAGGAAAGGAGGCTGTGAGGCAACCCAACTGACCTTTTCAAGCCCGTCTTCCTTGAGGCTGATGATGTCCAAGTCGAAATCCGTCCTCAAGCCGCTGGTTTTGTTGAAGACGATGCGTCCAGTGAGACCTTCCCACTGGGCCTGGGGAAAGAAAGGGGGGACATTGGAGGTTGGGGGATGTTGACGAATAGTGGGGTGGGAGTGGGGAGAGACAAAGGAGGCATTTGTCAAGCTCATAAATCACAATCTGCTCCAGAGAAGCACAGTGCTTTATTTTAATTACTCCTTCCACCATGACTCTGCCCCTGAAGAGCTTGATTAATTAATAATCACCCCCGATTGCTCATGGGACTGCAGAGGCTGGGGAACCCCATAAATCCCACTGTAGTCTCAGCCCTGATTTACGCTCACCCCTTCCAGGTTGCTCACCATGGAGGGGAAATAACTCACTGGTCTGTTGAGATTTTGGCCAGTCACAGTCCTGGGGAGAAAGACACACACACACACACACACACACACACACACACACACACACACACACCACTTGCCTGGAAGAAACCACAAAGAGGTTTACACAAAAACAGTAAAATAAAGAAAAAATCCAAACCATACTTTAAACCATACAAAAGTTAAAACACAAAAACAGATTAAAATAGCCTCAACTTCCTAAGCACTTTGTCTAACCAATAATGTTTAGGGCAGGCACCAAAAGACTACAGTGAAGGAGCCTGCTTGATCTCAGTAAGCAGGGAGTTCCAAAGTGTAGGTGCTGGCACACTAAATGATCGAGTTCTTTTAAATGCAGAATAGATATTATGTGGCACCTGTAGTACTGAAATTTTGCCAATTGAAGTGGTCATGTGGGTATGTATGGAACAGGGGTCAGCAAATTTTTTGTGGCTTGGGCCAGTTCATGATTCCGCCATAGTGCATGAGTGCGTGCATGCACGGATGTGCAAACACTATTTTTGGTGCTCCTTCCGGCGTGGATGAGGCATGCACAGCTTCCCAATGGCTGCAGAAGCTTCATGCAGCCAATGGGAATCTGGACAGCGTCGCGGAAGGCGGTCCCTGCTCTGCTCCGCATTGGTTTAGCATGGTGAGAGCTGACCAAGTGGGCTTTGTGGGTCCCCGAGTGGCCAGCGGGGGTCCATGGGCCACTTAAACAACCCCCATGGGTTGCTTCTGGCCCATGGGCCTTAGGCTGCCAACCCCTGGCGTGGGATGAGGAGATCTCATCAATAAACTGGTTCCAAATCATTAAGGGCTTTATATACTAACAGTTTGTGACAGCAGTCACAAAATTAAAAGACACCTGCTTCTTGGGAGAAAAGCAATGACGAACCTAGACAGCATCTTAAAAAGGAGACATCACCTTGCCAACAAAGGTCCATATAGTTAAAGCTATGGTTTTCCCAATGGTGATGTACAGAAGTGAGAGCTAGACCATAAAGAAGGCTGATCGCCAAAGAATTGATGCTTTTGAATTATGGTGCTGGAGGAGACTCTTGAGAGTCCCATGGACTGCAAGAAGATCAAACCTCTCCATTCTTAAAGAAATCAACCCTGAGGGCTCACTGGAAGGACAGATCCTGAAGCTGAGGCTCCAATACTTTGGCCACCTCACGAGAAGAGAAGACTCCCTGGAAAAGACCCTGATGTGCCACTCAGAGGCGTTTTGTGCACACTTGGGGACCAGCACCCTTCAACACAGCACCTATCAATCAGCAATGGTTTAACTGTGATTCCTTGATTGTAGGGAGGTTGGACTAGATGGCCCTTGGGGTCCCTTTCAACTCTACCATTCTATGATTCCATGAATCATTCTCCACTTTCGGCACCTCAGCAAACCTGAAATCACTGTTATTCTCAGTTTCCAGAGCCACCAGAACAATTAAACTCGATGTCATAAGGGAGCAGGGACGCGGACTTATAAAAAATATTGGGGGGGCCCGGGAAAGCTCATGAATAATAAATAAGCTCATGAATATGCAAATAAAGTGGCGCCGCCTCCTCGTGAGCGAATAGGGGAGAGCGTGCTGCGCCTATTAATCAGCTCCAAAGGAAATTGGGTGGAGCTTTTGCTTGGGAGGGAGGGCAGGAGGCATGCAGCCCGCCCCTCCCTGTGCATTTTGGGCTGGGGGAGGGGCGGCGATGGCGCTCTGCTGGAGGGGCGCCGGAGATTATTGGGGGGGGCGGAGCCCCCCCAAACGAATTTTTGAGGGGGCTCGGGCCCCCTCAAGCCCCATGGAGTCGGCGCCTATGTAAGGGAGTCTCTCCCCCATCTCACACACAGAGTGCCAATGGAGCAGGAGGCCAATGGGGCTGGGGAGGGAGGAGGTCCACCCTATCAACTTCTGTGCCAGCTTGTGACATTTGAGCTTTCGCGTGGCCAGTCCTTGCCTGCACTTAATGAAAGCCGTTTTACATGCCGTGAACTTTAGGCCTGGTATTTCCCTGCTCCCATCCATGAAATGCCAAGCCGTTAACAGGGTTTAGTGTTTTCCTGTCATATCACAGTGAAGGAGCCACAATCTTTCATGAGGCTCCTTACGCCATAGTCGTTCGCACCACATGTCCTGGGGAAACCAAGCTTGAAATAACCCCAGTGAGCATGCTGCCCCACATCCTATGTTATGATTTCATACATAATGAAAATAAAGGTACTGTTAAGAAAAAGGAGGCATATGTCAATATTTGCATTCCCCCCGCAAGCCTATCCCTAAGTATTTGAAGATGATGATCCTATAATATTTGAAGCTGGCTATCATATATAACCTTTTAGCCTGGTGAAGTGGAGACTGAAAGATGATATGGTAGCCATCTTCAAATATCTGGTGGGCTGTCACATTAGGGCAGTTCATAAAAATCTTTTTTTTAAAAAAATGCCTGCTCCAAAGGTCTTATCTTACTACACTAGGGATTATAAAGCTATATCTGAAATTTCATGCATATCAGTTAATATCTTGACCCTCCTCCACAAAAATAGCTGTTTACTTGGCCGTTTTCCTATGTCGTGAAGGCTGAAATTTCAATTCATTGGAGCAGGGTCAATATATTAACTACAGTTTTATGATTCTACTTATTACCATAACCAAGACTAAATAATACTATTCGGTGTTTATAACTGAGCAGAATGAAGTTACAATTCTACATATTGCAAACACAATCCTAGGTTCCCCCAGTTTACTGTAGCTTGCTAGTAAGGGAACTATAAACTTTGCTAAACCTGAGACCCTAAGAGACTGCGAGGCTAAGGTCCTAAGGTCTCCCAAGATCTCCTGATTAAGTTGCAAACCCTGCAAATGATCAATCCATATGCCAATAAAGGCTTGAGAATCTGAGCATATGATCGAGCTATTCTTCAAAGGGCTTGTTTTGATCCAGCAGACAAAAAGCTCAATGGAGGTTTAGTGGATCAGAATAAATTCTGAAGAACAGTTTGCAAAGCAGGGGTAGATTTGGAGGCAGGGACAGAATGGCTATAAAAAGTCTAGGCACTTTCCTGTTTGTGACAGAAGCTTTGGAAGGTCTGGCGCACACTGGCAATAGCAGCGCAAGTTGCTACCTCTGCAGTGGGAATTGTCAGCTTCTTTAGCAGAGAAATGCCTTCTGTTTGGGGCCTCCCAAAGGACAAATGTTGCCTCTTTATGGTCTCTGCTTCTGGCAGCAGATTTTGCAAATGTGCAACTGGTTGAAAACACAGGGAAGCAACAGCCCTGGGCATAAAATAGAGCTCAGAGGAAAGAGGAAGGTGAATCTAAGGTACTGAAGACAGAAGCACATTGTCAGCATTGTCACCTCCTCACTTGCTAAGAACATAAAAACAGCCTGTTGGATGAGGCCAATGGCCCATCTAGTCTAGCCTCCTGTTCTCCCGCTTGGACTACTGCAATGCGCTCTACGTGGGGCTACCTTTGAAGGTGACCCGGAAACTACAACTAATCCAGAATGCGGCAGCTAGACTGGTGACTGGGAGTGGCTGCCAGGACCACATAACACCAGTTCTGAGAGATCTGCATTGGCTCCTACGTTTCCAAGCACAATTCAAAGAGTTGGTGCTGACCTTTAAAGCCCTAAACGGTCTCGGTCCTGTATACCTGAAGGAGCGTCTCCACCCCCATCGTTCAGCCCTGACACTGAGATCCAGTGCCAAGGGCCTTCTGGCGGTTCCCTCATTGCGAGAAGTAAGGTTACAGGGAACCAGGCAGAGGGCCTTCTCGTAAGTGGCACCTGCCCTGTGGCACGCCCTCCCAGCAGATGTCAAGGCAATAAACAACTATTTAAAAATAAACAACTTTTAAAAGACAACTGAAGGCAGCCCTCTTTAGGGAAGTTTTTAATGTCTAATGCTGTATTGTTTTTAATATTCAGTTGGTAGCCGCCCAGAGTGGCTGGGGAAACCCAGCCAGATGGGCGGGGTATAAATAATAATTATTATTATTATTATTATTATTATTATTATTATTATTATTATTATTATTATTATCATCATCATCATCATCATCATCATCACAGTGGCTGAACAGTTGCCTGGGGGAAATCTGCAAGCACAAGAGCCATCACCCCTCCAGTTGCGGTTTTCAGCAACTGGTATTTAGAAGCATTGCTGCCTCCAGCTGTAAAGGCAGAGCATAACCATCATGGTTAGTAGCCACTGGTAGCCCTTGTTGTGTTTGCCTAGTTCAAGGAGCCAAAGGACCAAACTGATCCATAAGGAATTGTGCTTTCAGGGAAGAGGGAGAGCAGAAGAGTGCTCAGGCCCTTTGCTCATTTTATGGCTTCCTGTTGCTAATGGATTAGCAATGACTAGCCTGTGAATTGCCCCCTTACTAGCTTCTCTGAATTGCCCCAATGTCCGTTTCTATTTCAATAGTGGATGTGGGGTGGGGCGAGTTGAGGGAAGGCACTTCAATTACTCATTACTTGCATTGTTTTTTTCCTTTTGAAAAAAACCCAATATTAATTAAATTTGTATACCACCCTTCATCTGAAGATCACAGGGTGGTTCAGAACATAATACAAAATGAGAACACAAAATACACAAAACCAAACCAATAGCCCCCCCCCCCACAAACACATTTAAAAGGCCATAGAATGTTAATCAACCAAAGGCCTATTTAATATTTTTTGCCTGGCACTTAAAAGTATATAATGAACGGGCCAGGCAAGCCTCCCTGGGAAGAGCATTTCACAAATGGGGAGCCACCACAGAAAAGGCCATTCTAATGGTGCCCCCCAACCTCTCATGGAGGAGGCACACAAAGAAGGGCCTCATATGATGATCTCAGGGTCTATATTGGTTCATATGGAGAGAGGCGGTCCTTGAGATATTGTGGTCCCGAGTTTTATGGGTCAAAACCAGCATTTTGAATTGGGCCCAGAAGCCGTGAAATTGGACCAGAATCACTGTCATATGCTCAAATTGTCTTGCCCTGGTGAGCAATCTGGCTGCTGAATTCTGCACTAGCTGAAGTATCCAAACCATATTCAGAGGCAGTCCTACATATAACATGTTGCAGTAAACTAAACTAGAGGTTACCAGAGCATAGACAACAAAAGTTAGGTTATTCCTCTCCTGTTAGGGGTGCAGCTGGGCCACCAGCCAAAGCTGATGGAAGGCACTCCATGTCACTGAGGCCACCTGAGCCTCAAGTGACAGCAAATGATGCAGAAATACCCCCCCCAGCTAAGTACCTGCTCTTTCAGAGAGAGTTTAATCCCATCAAGAGCATTAAAAGTTTACTGAACAGTGAAGTAGTTAACTAAATGTGGTATATAAAACTCTTGCTAAATTACTACCAGACTTTGAAAAGCTGGCATCACTGGATCAAGTTCACCAGTTTTGTTGAATTAATTAAGCTAAATAGTTTTAATTAGGCTTTGAATAAATGTGCAATTACTTGTTACTGTTTTGAATTTTACTGTGTTACTATATTCCTTAGAGAGCCATGCAAACTGCTATTCTGAATAATGCTTTTTATAGGGTAGGGGGCTCTGGGGATGAGTTTATGGAAGCAAGGGGGCTGTGGCCTGAAAAAGTTTGGGATCCACTGGTGTAGATATTCCATAAAACTTGAGTGAAGTGAGAGAAAGGGGCAAGCAGAGCAGCAGTCTGCCATGGTTGGTTGCACTATTAGGAAGGAAGGAGACTTTAATTCGAGGCCAACATGTTTACACAGATTAACTCCTGGGCTTCTGTTCTTCTTGTGTCTTTGTCTGCAAGGCTCAAAAGAAACACTGCCATGGAGTGCCTCTAATTTCCACATGCATAATAGCAAGGTCAACCCTCAACCTCTTCCTTGGCAACCTGAATAGCACTCCAGAGCTTCTCTGTGTCTCTGTTGTTCTCATGGTAATTGCTCATACTTGAGCTGTGAATCTCTCATTTCTAGTCACAGGAGATCACTCAGAGCGATGCACCTTGAGAGAGAGGGTGACAGGTGAAGTGGAACTGAGAGCTGGGACCAGAGGTCAGCTGGCCTCCCCTCATTCAGTGGTGCTTGGCTGCTCTCCAAAAGGTCTTTGCTGAGCATCACTTGAATGAGGCACCAGCCTCTTCCTCAGTGAGATGGAAGCTCCTCAGCTTCCTTGGTGATTTAGGAGGTTGATGACCTGCCCAGTCTCACCCACTCTTACCTAAAGCTTCAGGCTAGTATCAGTCACTCTAGTTGCCCCCTCTTGAGATGCGGCCACCAGCTTTTCATAGCACATCTAGCAGCATTCCCACTCACCCCCATGCCATTTATGCCACCTAGGGGAATGTTTGTACAAGACAAACTTGCAAAAGTGCACCTGTGCATATACACACAACCTGTAAATCAACTCTCTGCCCTGGAAACTGGGGCATGACCCAAGCAAGATGTTCAGTGGATTGGGCACTTTCAGACCCCCTTGCCAATCAAAAAGTCAAGTTGAGATGGTGATGTTGGAGGGTAATGGAGAGGCCATCCAACAGCACAGGATCTCCATTGCAACAGCATAATTTGCTTCCACAGTTTGACAGGCTCCAAGTAAGTCAACAAGGCTTCCCATTGTTCCCGTCTCTGTTGACAACCAGTTATGGGGGGGGCCTGTCTGCTTGAATCATGCCAGAATCCATAGCCAGGTAGCCAGGTTGTCAACTCTGAGAACTCTGCACAAAACCACTCAAAATTGGTGATTGGAGTCTTTCAGAGGTCCTATGGCTGTGATGCCTTTTGATGATTTCTTCCAGGAGTACACATTTTTAAGGGGGTGGCAGTCTACCATTAAAAAATAAATAAACATTCTTTGCATGGTTTATTTTCCAAGAGAACATCTCCCCGAAGTGTGTACTGGGAAGTTCAAACATCCCTGCTTTGGCCTCTTGCAATGGGGAGACTCAGTTGGCTTCTCTGCCTCTTGGATCCAAGTGACGCTCCCTGCATGCCAAATGCAGTCAGGAAAGCTGTTTAGGCTGCAGGCGAGGGAGATGGTAATTACCCAAAACACAGAGAAAAATGAAGTCCCCACTTCATTCCCCTGACATTCAGCTCACTCAAGTCTGTGGCTCTGCCAAAACAGAGGCGTGCCTGCTGCCAATTTCCCCACGAGAGTTTTTGAGCTGTTCACTAAGTGGTTGACAGATGCACCAAGTAAACACTCCTCAACAAGAGAGAAAGGTGGGAAGGAAAGGCAGCAGATGGTGTTCCTATTTGACAGAGAAAAATACCAGGGGGTGGAGGGGAGGCTGATAGTTTGGCGGAAGTACCCCTGTGCTATGTGCCAAAGGTCCCGAGTTCAATCCCCAGCAACTCCCTTGGAAAACATCTCAGGTGGAAGGAGTGGGAAAGGAGTCTCCAGGAGACTCTGGAGACCTGCTGCTGCCAGTCGGAGTAGAGCATTATGGGTAAGATAAACCAAGAGTCTGTTTCAGTACAGATAAGTTTTGTAAGTTCATGTGACAATTGGCCACCATTCTTTGTGACAGAGCTCAGTAGCAGAGCATCTGCCTTACATGCAGAAGGTCCCAGGTGTTTCCAGGTAGGACTAGGAGAGGCTATTGTCTTATGCTCTGGAAAGCAGCTGCCAGTCAGTGTAGACAATACTGAGCTAGTTGGATCAAAGCTCTGACTCAGGATAAGGCAGCTTCCTACATTTCTATTAAAAGGATTTGGCAGAGAGATCTTCAGTGAAGCCATCTATGACATTGTCAAAGTTTTGAAAGGGAAGAACATGGTGTGTCTAGCGGCTGGAATGGGAAGCAAACAGCCCTAATCTGTACATTTATATAGGTAGGTAGAGAGATAGAGAAGTTGGGGGCTCAGCACCAGCCATGGCTGGGCGTTGCAGAGACTGAAGCTTGTTCTACTCTTGTTTCACCTCTGTCCCTAAGATAAATCATGTTCCTTTGGTTGTGATCCAGCCTAGAGGACTGGTATTTTACATATGTATGCTTAGTCCTGGGTTCTCCTGAAGAATATGGGCAGCTGTCTCTCAAAATAAAGGTGCCAGATGGGATTAGAAGTGACACTGGCACAAATGCATTCAGAGTCAGACCCATTGAGCACAGTATTGTCTAGACTAATTACACTGTCTATTCAAACTGGCAGTGGTATTGCAGAATGTCAGGGTGTGTGTCCGTACCCCCAACCCACTATCTGGGGATGGCTGAGATTGAATTTAGGCTGTTCTGCAAGCTAAGTACGTGCACCTGGAGCTAATTACGACTTGTTACTGGGCTTAGGCTCATCTCCACCACCCGCCTGATTCAAAGCAATCTTTGCCTCCAGAAAGAGGCAATGGCCCAAGCAAAGATGCAGGCTCAGAATCACCAGAGCAAGCTTTCTGCTAGAGTGAGATCAGGACCATGGACAGCAACAATGAAGACTGCCCAGGATGCAAATACAAGAGTTCCAGGACCATAGACAGCAATCTTGCAGCACTGAGCACACATCCCTTCACTCAAGATGCAAAAGCAGGTTCCATCCGGATGCATTGTACTTCTTACCTCTTTGATGAAATTCATGAAGCGTCCACCAAACCGCCAGGCTTTATGCCGATGGCACTGGAGGGAGTTGACAGTCATCTGTGGAGCCCGTTGGTAGCACACGGAGACAATGTGGACAGCATCGTACAACAGGGCAGCATCTGTCTAAAATGAAGGGGAACAGGATTTGCTTTGATAACAGCTCTAGGAGCAAGGAAGCCTTTCACCTCCCAAGTGATGATGATGATCATGCCACCCTCACTATAGGAAATCCATTTTGGCCAAGATAGTCTTTGGTTCCAGCCTCCTCAGGTCAACTGAGCCATCTGCATCATGCTGCTACTTCTATCTTGGTAGTCTGTGGTCCAGTTTACATGGACATCATTGAATGGCCTTCTGTCAAGATCATGCATCTGGAATCCTACAGAGGCAGGAGTAGCCGCAGCAAAGGGAAGGCAGTGAGCAGGGGAAGGATGAAACACTGTATCCCATTGCAGTTTCTTTACTCTAAATCAGTGTTTCCCAACCTTGTGCCTCCAGCTGTTTTTGGCCTACAATTCCCATCATCCCTTGCCACTGGTCTTGCTAGTCAGGGATGATGGGAGTTGTAGGCCAAAAACATCTGGAGGCACAAGGTTGGGAAACACTGCTCTAAATTGCCTCCTCCCAAAACACCTATTCCATAGAAGCTGCTGTCAAGATTTTGTGACATGCATTCATGTGTAAGGTGTAGTTCTGCTGATGATTCACAGCTGATTGTGTTAACTGCCCCCCACAGAGAAGCAACTACTTTGTCTTCCCAATACGTTGTCCAAAACAGAACCAGACAAAAACAGAGTTTGCAACAGTTTGACATGCAAACTCCCTTGCCTCTTGCCCTCATCAACACAGGTTTGCACCACACACTAAAAGGCAGGAGTAGTTTAAATGGGCCATCGTACCATCATCACCCCTGTGATCAACCCTGGCTCAGGCTTGGGGGCTGCCTGCAACCTCTCCATAGACCATTTATCAATGATGGCAGAGACATGGGGATTCTCCACGTTCAAGATGCGGAAGCCAGTCAGGTTCACTCCAGAGTAGCGATATTGCTCTAGATCCAATGCATAAAGATCCTTTAAAAAGAAAGAGGGAGACTTCATTTCAGTGCTTTATCTACTTCCCCCTTGAACCATTTAGTTCTTTTTTGGGGAGGGGGAGGGGGAGGGAGGGAGGGAGGGGGGCAGTCTTCAAAGGTGGGCCAAGTCCTCTGAGACACTTCACCACTCTTATTGAAACTTGGCTCCCCTTGAAATTCAACAGCTGCTCTGCCTGAGCAAATTCCTACTGAAGTTGGTCCTCCAATGTTGCTTTAGGAAAAGATTCAATGGTGTTTCCAGCTGGGAGGCATTTCCCTGTCTTGCATCAGTTAATTATGGTGCTGATTAATTATGCATTAATTCCAATAAGAGAATATTGAAAATGTTTGAAAGGGGGGAAAAGAAATAATTTGGAAAGTATGGCATTAAATCTTGTTATAGTTGCCACTTCCAAGCATCAAAACCCATCATTCTGGAATACTAGTATTGCTAATATTTTCACCATCTTGTAATTTTTCAAGTGGGGGGAGAGGTAGAGTAAGCATGCAATTACATTTTCTCAAAACCACAAGCAGCCAAAATAAACCTTGGCAATGATGCTTCAGTCTAATATGGCAGTCTATTCTATTCATGAGAGAAACACAAAGCCCACGGGAAAATGACTGTTTCAGATTTGTGCCATCTCTGGTCTTTTAGACTGCCCACCCCTCTAAGAGTAGGTAGGATCTGCATGTGCAGTGGGACACAGGAGTAATTTGCCCACTGCAAATTTACCATTCATTGCATGTAGAACATCACACAGAACACCACATCTCCACCAGATATTATCATTTTGGAATATCATTAACCATTGCACAATGAGTGATTTGTTCCAGTTCCAGTTCTCAGGGTGTGGGTTTTACTGGTTAATCCTTACTCTACGTCCCACTGGACAGCTGATGAGCAAATTTGAACCTTGTTTGGGGGAACCCAGTTAGCATCACTGCATTGGCCAGGATCTGGCAGGAGAAGTGCGAGCATTGACTGGATCACCAAATTTTCACCCACTTCCCACATGTACAACCCAGAGTTTCTCATCTTACATTCATTAAACTGGATGGAGAGAGAAAAATGTGGCATTTTTTCTCTTGACCATCTCAGACTTCTACAAACAGGCCTGGTCCCCTGACCCAGAATCCTCCATTTCTGCCTGACAGGAGCCTCTTGTAGTCGGAAGATGTGCTCTTGGCCATCTTCCAGTTTGAGACCAATACACATTACAATCTTAGGAAGAATTTCCTTCAAGTCCTCAAAAGACTTTTCTTTATTTTTATTTAATTGCAGAGCCAGCCCAAATACATTTCGACATCAGAGGGCCCCAAAATGGCACTCTCTCCCTACTGGGGAAGAAGGGGTGAGAGAAGAGATATATCAGGAACAAGGAGGGAAGAAAGATCAAAATTGGGATCTGCTACCCCTGTGGATTCTGCTGCCTGAGGTGGTCACCACACCTTGCCTAATGGGTGGGCTGGCCCTGTTTAATTGGCAGCCTGTTCGCTGTCAATGTCAACAGCTAGGGTGCTCAGTATTTGAAGACCACCATCAAAGAGGAGCTAAGATGTTTCTTGACTTTATGATCCACCTCCACTGTCTGCAAGTGAGAGAGCAATAAGTGGAGGAGAGGTGGAATGGGAACCATTCAGGCAAAGTGCTGGCAGGGAGCCCAGGCCTGCCTCTTGGCAGTCAGTGTGCACAGGGGGCATTTGCAAGTCCCACTCCAGTGCACTTCCTTAATACTTCCCAGGGCTTTGCAGAGCAGAGCTGGAATATTAATTCCTGCCGTCAAAGTGAGGTCTGCACTTCAGGAGGTCTGCAGTTTAAGCCTACCACAAACTCATCTAAATGGGGCTTGAAAGAGAGGTGAGTGAGGCGGTTGCTCTGCTTCACAGGAAGGAGCAGGAACAGCTGACCCCAATGGAAGGGAAAGGAAATGGCACTCAGCAGCATCCCAGTTAACATTTGGCTGGGAGGACACAACAGCACCAGAAACATCTGTAAAGAGAAGTTCTTTTAAACCTGTATCTCATGCTAGTGAATGGTTGGCCTGTGAGCCAATCTAAGGCAGAGCCCAGGGAATTAGGAAGGAATCACACACACACAATTTCCTACCTTCAACAAAAGCCATAGCTACTGATGGTGCCAAGGTTAGAATTAACCTGGTTTGGCTTGCTGGCTGGCTGGCTTGCTTGTTTGATTAATGTAACACCTTTTCCTCTAAGGAGCTCAAGGTGGCATACATGGTTCTTTCCCTCCTCATTTAATCATTCCACCAGACATTTCCCAAATGCAGTGATCAGGAACCACAGGTGGGGGCTATAGTCTTCACTTGTTGGTGGCTAACTCAGACCGTGCCCCCACCCCCGGGCTCAGACCAGAACTTTTGCCACTTGGTCAAAGAAACAACTTGGAAACTCTTGAATTAAAATCAGCTCCATTATTCTTTTTCACTTTGACTTCACCCTGACTGGTTTCACTCCTCATTTCAACCGTCCTCATTTAATTTCCACAACTACCACATTTAGACCAGGCTTCCTCAACCTCAGCCCTCCAGATGTTTTTGGCCTACAACTCCCATGATCCTTAGCTAGCAGGACCAGTGGTCAGGGATCCTGGGAACTGTAGTCTCAAAACATCTGGAGGGCCGAAATTAAGGAAGCCTGGTTTAGACTGAGAAGCAGTGCCTAGCACAGCTTTGCAGCAATGTGAGGATCCAAACCCTGGTCTCCTGGGCCTAGTCTGACATTCTAACCACTACCCCACATCGGCTTTCAAATACGAATTTGTCTAGAACTTGTCACAATCAGCTGTATTGCAACTTGAGTGCCATTCCCCTCAAAAGTTCTCATCTGGCTTGGAATGTTAAATGAGATTCTGCATATGCCCAGCCAGCAGTCAATGGACCAGGCACTTAAAGCTAGCTTGTATTGATTGCTGTGGAACTACATGAGCTAGTTAAATGGCATGTGATTTATAAAACAAGGCTCTGCTGCATGAATAAGCAAACTGAGTATGCGTGTCTAGGGCAGGGTGCTGAACCATCCACATTCACTGCATGATCAACCATACATGTGGCCCCAAACCACAATTCCCTGGAAGCAACTTGATGGTACACGTGGACCCAGCACCATCACCACACATGATCAGTTAGGAAAGAGCTCCAGGAAAGCTGGTGAGCTTTTTCTGAATGTAAATGGAGAATGATTGAAAACGCTGAGCCATCTCTAATCACAGCCAATGCTGATACCAGCTGCAACATTTCTTTAAGGCACACATACAGATGTGCACTATCAGAAGGAAAATACAGAGGCTGAAACATTGGGGCTTCCAGGCAGGTCTATATCCAAAGCTGTTTGCATTTTGTGGCTAATCATTGGCTGTTGCTTACATTTTTGTATTGCCTTCTGTTGGATCACAATCCATTTTCTCATTCCACAAAGCATGAATCAAAAATCTTAACAGGGTCACATAAATATTTTGATTAAAAACTGCACATTTCAAAAGTTCACAAACAGCATATTCTAGTTCTTTTATTTCCTAATTTTTTATTTCCTTCTGTTCTCACGATTTCACCTGATGCTTCTTCCATCCTAACAGCTATTAATAAATTAATTACCATTTCATGATACTCTTCTGTCAAGAGTACCTCTTGCACATCCCCAAAGGATTGCATTTATTTATTTTTTTGTCTGTGACTATGGGACATAAATAGTCACAACAATGAGCAGTTGCTTGAGGCAGGTCCCATCTGCACTATACATTTAAAGCAGTACAATACCACTTCAAACAGTCAGACTCAGGATGATCCTCTGCAAGGCTACACACCAGCATCCCCCAAACTGGTGCCCTCTAGACGTTTTGGACTACAGCTCCCATTAGCCCCAGTATCCTATGGCTGTACTGGCTGAGGCTGATGACTTACAGTCCAAAACAGCTAAAGGCCCCAGCTTAGTGAAGGCTGCTCTACACTTTCAACGTTTCTGTTTGGTAGGAACAGTTGCTCCCTTACCTTTGTCTAATGCCGACCTGTATTGCTTGCAGGGTCCACTGGGGACCTTTTAGAGAAACACAACAGACTAATTCCATCCCCCCTCCCAGGGGCCTCTTATGGCAGAAATGGCAGCTCCAAAGAGAACAGAGCCTGGAGCAGCAGCTGCTTAAAATATCTGTCCCACGATACAGCTGTTATTTCAGGGAAGTGGCACTAATTGTAATTGCTTATCTATTAATTTATTATAATTCTTTCTTGCTCTCTCCCCCTCCCACACACTCCTTCTTCATCTTCACCTCCAGGCTTGTACTTGTGTGCAAAAAAAAAGTTCACAAGACTCAGCTGGGCCTGATTAATAGGAGGTTATCAGGGAGTTGCGAGAAGCTGTTGCAAATAGATAACGGTGGCAGCAGTAATTAAAATGTCTTTTCATTTTGGTGGAAGGATGGAATGTTAAAAAAATTAAATGTGGATGTTTCCAGGGATGTGTTTGGGGAGCGGGTTGCTATCTGGTTCTGTGACGTGGTCTGAGGGTGTGTGGAGCATCATCCTTGCTAATACTAAGCAGGTCTGGGGGTCTGTCCAGGACCTGGATGGGAGGCAATCCCGGAAGGTGTGTGGCCTTGAGTTCCATGACATCAGGGCAGGAGTTTATTAAAGAAATGAAGAGGGGAGAGAGCAAGATGGCAAGCAGAGGCCAGGATTTCCCACCCGCTCTACAGTGGGCTTGCTCTGCACACTTCAAAACACACACACACCCTCACTGCTCCTCATCTGTGCTATCAGAAGGGACACTAGCTTGGAGGTCTCCAAGGTCTTCCCCAAGTTGGTGAGGCTCATTTGACAGCAGCACAAAACTGAGCCTTCTGTGTTATTTGCCCACTCCTATGGAAGGGAGCTGGGTATATTTAGCTTGGAGAAGAGACGAGTGAGAGGTGATATCTGAAGGTCTGCCTATGAAAGATTAAGCAAGCTTGTTTTCTGTTGCTCCAGGGGGTAGTACCTGAACCAATGGGTGCAAGTTATGATAAAGAAGATTCCAACCCAACATTAGGAATAATTTTCTGGTGGTAAGAGCTAGTCACCCTCCTGCATTCCTCATAAGGCTTTGTTTCCTGACCTTTGGTCATCTTGGTAGCCCGCCTCTACACACCTTCCAGTTTGCCAATATCCTTCTTAAATTGTGGTGCTCAGAACTGCACACAGGACTCCAGGTGGGGTCTGACCAAGGCAGAAAAGAGCAGTGCTATTAATTCCTTTGATCTGGACACTACTGTTCTTTTCTCTCTTTTTTAAAAATGGTTCTTCCTAACTCTAACTTAGCTGATGCAGTTTGAGCCAGAGATCAGGTGACCCCCCTCCTCCTTAGTGGATACCAATAAAGGGCAGTAAGACAGGTGTGTGGTTGAGATACTTTACCAGTGTGGTGAAGATAAAGTGGTAGTATTCCGTCATCATTCCCATTGCCATGGCCTGAGAAGAAAGCAAATGAAAGGTGAATTAAAAATACAGCATGTGAATTTGTAACAGAAAGAATGAGCCCACAGAGCCTTGCGGGAAATAGGTTTAGCAGCTTCAGTGGCTGATGGGTACTTTGGCACCCTGTGTGAGGCCAAAATTTGACACACACACACTCATGCTACCTTCCCAAAGGCAGGTAAGGAGGTGCCAGGCTTTGAGAAGGAGGTGCTGCCTTACCAAAGGAGGGTAAGGAGGCACTGGGCTTTGTGAAGGAGGCTGGGAAAGCATTGACTAGGCTTTGGGAAGAAGGCATGAGGACTCTAGGACCCTATCAGAGTCTCATGCCCCCATCCCAAAGCCCAGTGCCTCACTTACTGAGCTTTGAGGTAGTGCCCCCTGGCGCATTGCCCAGTGCATGCGCACTTCTTGCACAGCCCAAAGTCTGCCTCTGGAAGCTTTAACATTTTGGTGTCTGGGAATGCAATGTCTCAAGGCCCAAGGCAACCAATGAGTCCCCCTTTGTCACAGGGCATTCAATGCTGGGACTCACAGCAACAGAACCCTAAAAACCTTGACCCCCACTTGTTGGCAATCCAGCCTCCCAGGTTTGACTACTGACTCACTCACAAGAACATAAGAAGAGCCTGATGGATCAGGCCAATGGCCCATCCAGCCCAGCATCTCACAGTGGCCAACCAGGTGTCCCAAAGGGAAACCCACAAGCAGGATTCAAGCACAAGAGCACTTTCCCATCAACTGGTATCCAGAAGCATTGCTGCCTCCAGCTGTGGAGGCAAAGCACAGTCATTGTGGCTAGTAGCTGTTGATAGCCCTCTCCTCTATGAATTTGTCTAATTCTCTTTTAAAGTCACCCAAGCTGGTGGCCATCACAGCCTCCTGTGGGAGCGAATTCTATACTTTATGCACTGTGTGAAAATGACCTGAATCTTCCAGCCTTCAGCTTCATTGGATGTCCACGAGTTCAGACTGAACTTAGTTGTCAGCTCCTCTGTCAGGCCTGCCTATATCCTAGAATTGTGAACAAATGTGGTCCTCCTGGGTGCTAGATTCCACTTTCCTGAGAATTTCAACTTCCTTTTAAAATGCTTCTAGCAGAAAGTGTTTCACCTCTGGGCATGAGTCAGTGCCTTGATGAGTCATTTGCCCCAGCAGTGCACTCTGTGGATTCACTGTTCAGAATTCAGTGTTCAATTAAAATAGACGCTTTGCTTTGTTGTTGTTGTTGTTGTTAGTCGTTTAGTCGTGTCCGACTCTTCGTGACCCCATGGACCAGAGCATGCCAGGCACATCTGTCCTCCACTACCTCCCGCAGTTTGGTCAAACTCATGCTGGTAACCTCAAAAACGCTATCCAACCATCTCGTCCTCTGTCGCCCCCTTCTCCTTGTGCCCTCCATCTTTCCCAGCATCAGTGTCTTCTCCAGGGAGTCTTCTCTTCTCATGAGGTGGCCAAAGTACTGGAGCCTCAGCTTCACGATCTGTCCTTCTAGTGAGCACTCAGGTCTGATTTCCTTAAGAATGGATGCATTTGATCTTCTTGCCGTCCATGGGACTCTCAAGAGTCTTCTCCAGCACCATAATTCAAAAGCATCAATTCTTCGGCGATCAGCCTTCTTTATGGTCCAGCTCTCACTTCCATACATCACTACTGGGAAGACCATGGCTTTAACTATACGGACCTTTGTTGGCAAGGTGACATCTCTACTTCTCAAGATGCTGTCTAGGCCTGTCATTGCCCTTCTCCCAAGACGTCTTTTAATTTCGTGGCTGCTGTCACCATCTGCAGTGATCATGGCGCCCAAGTAAGTAAAATCTCTCACTGCCTCCATTTCTTCCCCTTCTATTTGCCAGGAGGTGATGGGACCAGTGGCCATGATCTTCGTTTTTTTGATGTTGAGCTTCAGACCATATTTTGCGCTCTCCTCTTTCACCCTCATTAAAAGGTTCTTTAATTCCTCCTCACTTTCTGCCATCAAGGTTGTGTCATCTGCATATCTGAGGTTGTTGATATTTCTTCCGGCAATCTTAATTCCAGCTTGGGATTCATCCAGCCCAGCCTTTCGCATGATGTATTCTGCATATAAATTAAATAAGCAGGGAGACAAAATACAGCCTTGTCGTACTCCTTTCCCAATTTTGAACCAATCAGTTGTTCCATATCCAGTTCTAACTGTAGCTTCTTGTCCCACATAGAGATTTCTCAGGAGACAGATGAGGTGATCAGGCACTCCCATTTCTTTAAGAACTTGCCATAGTTTGCTGTGGTCGACACAGTCAAAGGCTTTTGCATAGTCAATGAAGCAGAAGTATATGTCTTTCTGGAACTCTCTAGCTTTCTCCATAATCCAGCGCATGTTTGCAATTTGGTCTCTGGTTCCTCTGCCTCTTCTAAATCCAGCTTGCACTTCTGGGAGTTCTCGATCCACATACTGCTTGAGCCTTCCTTGTAGAATTTTAAGCATAACCTTGCTAGCGTGTGAAATGAGTGCAATTGTGCGGTAGTTGGAGCATTCTTTGGCACTGCCCTTCTTTGGGATTGGGATGTAGACTGATCATCTCCAATCTTCTGGCCACTGCTGAGTTTTCCAAATTTGCTGGCATATTGAGTGTAGCACCTTAACAGCATCATCTTTTAAAATTTTAAATAGTTCAGCTGGAATACCATCACTTCCGCTGGCCTTGTTATTTGCAGTGCTTTCTAAGGCCCATTTGACTTCACTTTCCAGGATGTCTGGCTCAAGGTCAGCAACCACACTACCTAGGGTGTACGAGGCATCCATTTCTTTCTGGTATTGTTCCTCTGTGTATTCTTGCCACCTCTTCTTGATGTCTTCTGCTTCTGTTAGGTCCTTTCCACTTTTGTCTTTTATTATGGTAATCTTTGTACGAAATGTTCCTTTCATATCTTCAATTTTCTTGAACAGATCTCTGGTTCTTCCCATTCTGTTGTTTTCCTCTATTTGTTTGCATTGCTCGTTTAAGAAGGCCTTCTTGTCTCTCCTTGCTGTTCTTTGGAAATCTGCATTCAATTTCCTGTATCTTTCACAATCTCCCTCGCATTTTGCTTGCCTTCTCTCCTCTGCTATTTGTAAGGCCTTGTTGGACAGCCACTTTGCTTTCTTGCATTTCCTTTTCATTGGGATGGTTTTCGTTGCTGCCTCCTGTACAATGTTACGAGCCTCCATCCATAGTTCTTCAGGCACTCTGTCCACCAAATCTAAATCCTTAAACCTGTTTGTCACTTCCACTGTGTATTCATAAGGGATTTGACTTAGATTGTATCTTACCGGCCCAGTGGTTTTTCCTACTTTCTTCAGTTTAAGCTTGAATTTTGCTATAAGAAGCTGATGATCTGAGCCACAGTCAGCTCCAGGTCTTGTTTTTGCTGACTGTATAGAGCTTCTCCATCTTTGGCTGCAGAGAATATAATCAATCTGATTTCGATGCTGCCCATCTGGTGATGTCCATGTGTAGAGTCGTCTCTTGTGTTGTTGGAAAAGCGTGTTTGTGATGACCAGCTTGTTCTCTTGACAGAACTCTATTAGCCTTTGCCCTGCTTCGTTTTGATCTCCAAGGCCAAACTTGCCAGTTGTTCCTTTTATCTCTTGATTCCCTACTTTAGCATTCCAGTCCCCTATAATGAGAAGAACATCCTTCTTTGGTGTCACTTCTATAAGGTGTTGTAAGTCTTCATAGAATTGGTCAATTTCAGATTCTTCAGCACCAGTAGTTGGTGCATAAACTTGGATTACTGTGATGTTAAAAGGTCTGCCTTGGATTCGTATCGAGATCATTCTATCATTTTTGAGATTGCATCCCAGTACAGCTTTCGCCACTCTTTTGTTGACTATGAGGGCCACTCCATTTCTTTTACGGGTTTCTTGCCCACAGTAGTAGATGTGATGGTCATCCGAACTGAATTCGCCCATTCCCGTCCATTTTAGTTCACTGATGCCCAGGATGTCAATATTTATTCTTGCCATCTCATTTTTGACCACCTCCAACTTACCCAGGTTCATGGTTCTTACATTCCAGGTTCCTATGCAATATTTTTCTTTACAGCATTGGACTTTCCTTTCGCTTCCAGGCATATCCGCAACTGAGCGTCCTTTCGGCTTTGGCCCAGCCGCTTCATCAGCTCTGGATCTACTTGTACTTGTCCTCCGCTCTTCCCCAGTAGCATGTTGGACGCCTTCCGACCTGAGGGGCTCATCTTCCAGCGTCATAACTTTTATATGCCTGTTGTCTTTGTCCATGGAGTTTTCTTGGCAAGGATACTGGAGTGGCTTGCCGGTTCCTCCTCCAGGTGGATCACGTTTGGTCAAAACTCTCCACTATGACCTGTTCATCTTGTGTGCCCTGCTCGGCGTAGTTCATAGCTTCTCTGAGTTCTTCAAGCCCCTTCGCCACGGCAAGGCAGTGATCCATGAAGACGCTTTGCTAGGTTTATTTAAAGATTCCCAGGAACAGTTTTATATATTATGTTTCAATAGCAGCTGCCAGAATGGAGAGAGCTAAACAATGGAAAACCCTAAAACACCTTTGCCAACCTGGCACCCTCCAGATGTCTTGGACATCAACTCCCATCAACTCCAGCCAGCACTGCCATACGATGCCAGGGCTTATGGGAGTTGTAGTTCAACACATCTTGAGGGGGGTGGGGACCAAATTGGCAAAGTCTGCCCTAGATGAATGTTGCAATTCAATTTGCAAAGATCTGGAAAATAGCTTGGGCGGGAAGCAATGAGCAGATCAGAGTCAGCTCACAGGAAAATTATTAAGTGCTTTCTGGAAACGTGGTTACCGTTTGTCACATAGGTCAATAAAGGAGGGTCCCAAACCCAGCCCCCATTCCCACACATGTCTGTTGGGAGTGATGTCCTCACCTGATTTATAACACAACTATTCTGTTAAATTCTTCCTGGACAAGCTATTATCTTTGAGGCAGACATGAAGAATGAAAATTGAACTCTTCACTATTTGTTTAACATT